AGCAGACGGTCTGTCAGCCATGATGGAAAGTCCAGTGCTGATGGACCTGAGGTATTGGCCAGGTTAGATAAGGAAGCATTTTTTGTGAGAGAACTTGTGATATTGACCAAGATAAGATACTGTTATTCAAAAAACCATTTTGTTCCACTAAATATTAGATCGTTTGTCATTCAAATTAGATAAGTTTTGTTATATGTTCTATTTTCCCTTCATGGCTTGTTGGTTTACTAAAAGAACAGAAATCTGCCATCCTTTTTCATAGATTCTTGTTGTGGTATCACTGTTGCCTTGAGACCAATTTGAAAATGGATTTAACTATGAGGACGGACATATTTTGGCCTGATGAAAATCATGTCAAATGATACAGAAAACAATACAGAAAACAATTCAATTCAAATGGTCGATTTATTGCTGTCAACTTTGGATTGATTGATTGATTCATCAGTTTGTTCTAAAACACTACAAAGAAGTATTATTAACAGCAAGGTTCAATTTCTGTACATAGTTTTATTAAGGCAACTTTCAAATTAAATTTCTTGAAAAGAAGTACGGAAATATGGCTATTTCTATGTATATTTTGTGAGGGTGATCATTTCACTTTGTAGGATGAGCATATTCTGTTTTCAGTTGAAGATTTAGTGCATCAAATTTAACATTAATATAATTGAGGACCTGAGGATGACTGTAAAATGGAGAAATACTCGCAGGTCTCTTGTGAAAAGAAAATCTCAATATCTCTTGTACCTAGGTGTCAATCATACATCTATATAGGTGCTAAGATCAATACCTCAGACACAGAATCGGATCTAGTTATCGCGCTGGACAGTGAGACCAAACATCATAATGGCTGCCATCGCTGTAACACAATCAAACAGTAACCTTACCAAACACTGTTAAGCAAGGTAATTTGGTGGCGATACACATCACAAAAAACATCTGTAATGACCAGAAGCCTAGCTAATCATAGGTGGTGGCAGCTCTATTATAGAGGCTCAGCTTTGCTGACCACGAATTGACCGTTGATTTATAGCTGCTGATGGACAAAGAATGAAGAAATTTTTTATTGGATTGTCTTGTTATAAGTTTTCTATCCATCCTGAAAAACTAGATAGTGTGAATGACTGGTCACGAATATCGGTGACTTCATGAAACTGGACATTTAGTTAGCGTTTACGACATTAGTGGTCAGTCCAGTAACCATGGACACTAACTAGATAAGATAGGGTTGTATTGCAACATTAATCCATCTCAACAGCAAAAAAAAACCCACAAATGAACACTGTGGACTGGTTAGATATTGATACGAGTGACCATTGTCTTTTCTCAGTAACATTGACTTACCTATTTATAACTGGTCAGTTATTGGTATCTATGACCACTGTCTTTGTCAGTATCAATGACACTAACTATTCCAGATAGGTCGGCATCGGTCAAGACATGAACACTGATCAGTGATGGACGGCAAAACCAAGGCTCTTCTGATCACTTCCTACAGTTTCTAATTAGTCTGGCTGACAAAGGTGATCATTAACTTGAAATAAATGACCAATGGCCAGCGATGCCTTTGGACATCAGTGTCTGTTTTGTCCTCAGCTACCTATTGTTTCCCCCCAGTAGGAATCAGTGCAGGGCAGCTTGATTAAAGGAGATGAGTATGTCTGGCACAGCACCAAGGGGCACAACTGTGATCACCAAGGGGCATAACTCAAATAAATGTTCATTAATTGCTGAAGATGGCAAGGAATGATTACATTTTTTTTTCTATGTGATTAGTTATTGATTCGCATATCATTCCCCATGATCACCTATATATTGTGATATGATTTGATAAAGGTTGAATAGTTATTTGTGTGTTTAGATGATTACTTTTTTAACAAGGCTTTAATGTACAGTCTGTGATATTATTACTAAAAGGGCCACTGATAAAAGATTGATTATAAATAAGAATAGACAAGAATAGACAAATACTAGTGTAACAAGGTTGGTTATGTAGACGGAGCAGATAAAGGCTACACTGAATGCCCCATCATCATCACCTTTGATCTGGCCGTCTCATGATTATACAACGTTTACCGTCTGACAAGGTTTCTAATGGTGGCCATCTTTGATTTCAGCACCAAAACACAATTCAGATTTCGTAAGTGATGTATTTGGTAGAATACATACAATTTTTCAAATGAATGATCATTGCCAATCCTGTAGACTATGATATAGCTGTCAATCCTTTTAGTGATATTTATATAAGTGTTTGATGGAATTCTTGAGTCATCCCATCAGGATTTCCCAGCTTTTCGGGGAGCTGTAAGCTAGTGCACTATAAAAGGAAAGATAGGATTGGTTGTCCTGTGTGTTTTGGCCTGAAGGAAATCAGTTCTGGCTGTTGTGTCTGGTCATGCTGCAACTCTGCTACTAGATATTATTGCATTTCAGGCAGAAGATAGAGTGATGAAGTCAAGTTGAGAGCTCATTCTATTCAATTATGTGTGAGAACAGTTTTCAATAATCTTATGACCGAAGGGGACTAGCTGAAGTCCTTGGGGGTGTGACCTGGCTGAGAGGGCAGTTGTGGAGTGGGGATGCTTCGAATCAGGTTATTGCTGTTTGCTATTGGTTTGAGGTGGTCAGCATACACCACAATAGTCATTTAAGTGACCAACAGCTCGAGGACAAGTACTGCTGATGGTCAGCAATTCCTTCACTGAGTTAACCCTGCAAATAAAATTAGAGGTCAGGAGTGAAATTAATTTGATATTTATTGCAAAAAAAATCCCAGGGGGCCTGAATGGCAGATGTGCAGAAAGGGCGGACAAATTATTGACATGTCACTCAGATCAGAGGTCAATCTGTAACATGTCCTGTTATTGGTCGACAGACAAGGAGTTATTATAGGATCTGATTCACAAAGTTAACTAAAGATGTTGATAACATTGATTTGAAATTGTTTCAAAAATTGACAAAACAGATATCATTTTCATAAGACTAGTACATGGCTTATTGTCTCTGTAAAACATAAAACATACCTAACCAGATACCCATCCACTAATAAATTCTTCTGCAGCCGTTAATTGCTTAAAATGAAGTAAAACAGCACCTGTTGACATAAATTTGTGACAGCATCGTACTGTACTAAGTACCTTGTGACTTTACATAGGGTGATACTACATAATGTTACATACCAAAAAATTATATGATGGTGTTCAAACGCTGTCTAACAGCCATTGTATATGATAAAAGGAATTATGCGAATATGAAAACTTATTTCTTAGGTCCAATGTAGCCCTTAAAAGCTTATTTTACTGTGGAGGTCTAGTTTCTTCAGGTCTAAGGTCTTCTAAAGCTGGTTATAAATACGTTTTTATATTTGTCCAAAAATATCAGACTTTATTCTGCTCGCTTACTGTTCAAGGAAAGATATGTGGGTATGACATGTGATTGTGCCTTGACAGGCTGCATGATGTCATGATCCATTTTTATCGGCCAATGACAGCTTTGCTGAGTATGCATGTGGGTTGACTATTACCCACACCTTATTGTGTAATTGCAAAAGTGATAAAAGTCGGTTAACCTTTACAGAAACCTGAAGAAAACATATTCTTCTCCAGCAGGCAAAACAGTCAGTTTCTCTACATTGGAATTTAACAAAAGAATTCTATTTCAATTATAGACTTTAATTAACTTTTTACTAATTATCTTCCGAATTCTACTGTTGAATTTTAAAAGAGAGAATGATTGAAAGTCCAATTTCTACAGTGATTGTAGTTTTATAAGCAAGCCATTACCTTACAGCAAATTTTTTTTGACATGGACATTGTGTTTCAGTATCTCACAATGAGGGTTATAGGAACAAATTCTTTTTCATTCAGTATTGATTTATAATACGTGGGGTGACTGATCTCCATGCCCAGAACAAACCCTCTCTATACATAGCCCCGGCTCCTTTTGAGCCTCCTTTTTTGGGGGGGGGGGGGGGGGGGGGAGGATTGCTCATGACTCAGTTTGAATGGTAGGCTAAGCCACATTGAATCAGGATATTGTGTGATCTGTTATTTCCTGTACCTTTTGTCAAAGAACTTCAATGGCAGACAAGCAGATACTGTTTCAATACTGCAATGCTATCTCTTTATCTTTCATTAATGTTGAGAACTTGACTACATAGTTCATGCGGGATTTTGTTCAATTTGCCGAAAGCAATAAATCTCCAAATTGTGCGTGGGTTGTATATTTGTGTGTGTTTGTTTATTAAGCCAGGTGTCTGGAACCCAATACACTATCAGGTAGACAGCCCACTTATACCCCAACAAACCATCTCCTCCCTCTCCAGGTGGAGAATGTGCTCTCCAGGTTTCTCAATTCTTGTGTAGATATTAAGATTAATCCCAGACTGATATATAAGATGAGTTGACTTAATACTATAGCAATACCAGGTATATAAATTAAGGATTTTTCATGATGATATTGTGTAATATATTTTCCCATCACTCGGCTATTGACCTGTGTCTACTGATTAAAATATGTTGCAACAATAAACCCAATCATGCTTGATCTTTTAGCCTGACACCAACCCTAGCACCTACCCCATCCCCCATCCCCACTCCCTCTTTAAAAAAATCTTAAGATAAATGAAAAAACTGATATTTAAAAAAAAAAGTAATAAAAAATCAATATGAAAAAGAAAACTTTAGAAACTAAATAAAGATTGCGGATGTATAAAGACACATACTCTTTTGTATATTTATGGTTTATTTTGAGAATAAGGTTAGTATCATTTATCCCATCTCTCTTAAGATTAGGGTTAGGACTGATGTAAAATTTATATTTCAGCGCTACTACGCTATAAACATGTACTGTTAAAATGACTATTATGTGCTTAACAAATGATATACTTAATTGTAGATTGGTCTAATGGCATGTGTCACATTTTACAAAATTCACTAAAACTATTCTGACATTAACTTTATAAGTGAAAATACTGACTGTTTTTGTTTTTTTTATCATTTCAGGTAGCCGTTAGTGACAATGGAACACCAAGTCTTTCGTCAGTCACACGGGTCGTTATCAACATCCTTGACGAAAATGACAACAAACCAAAGTTTCTCCAAAGGAATTACAAAGTTAACATCATGGCCAAGTCTCCAGGAAGTAAACCAATGCCTGTGCTTCGCGTGTTTGGGGACGACAAGGACAGCGGTAGAAACGCCGAGATTACATACAAGATTCGGGGGAGGGAACAGACTGAGTTCACTATCAATGCCACAACCGGTATGATCTATGCGGTGGAAGCCCTGGAACCCAAGATGTACGAGTTAAAGGTTGGTACTTTTATCTGAAAACATCTCAAACTTGTCAAACTGCAACACCTTTGACGGACAGAAATCTCATCTAAAGTGTATTCGAACATCTTAGTCTTCAGAGTGTTTGAATGTCTTATCTTAATGCTTGAATGTCTTGTCGTCAGAATCTTTGCTGAAGAATACTTGATGGTCTTGTCTCTTGAGCGCTATAGAGATTTTTTTTACAGCATGGCAGTTATTTCCCCGGAGAGTTCAACACCACATAGAGCATTTGTAGTTAAGTAATAAAACTTACGATTTCAAGCGACAAACTCAACTGTGGACTGGGATTTTTCAATAAGGATGCAACAATAGCACTGTTAACCAAAGCTTAATACTGGTTATTAATGTTTTATTTATTGATCATATTTCAGCCTGCTTCAGAATTTCTGTAAATTATGTGTTTGTTTTCTCATAAACCAAATATCAACATGAAAACCTGTTCCTTGTCTTTAGTTTTTAATCCACTGTATATGTTGTCATGGTTACAGATCCGTGCTACAGACAATGGCGACGTAAAGAGGAGGAGCAGGGTTCGAGCTCAGATTGTGGTGAGACCTCGTCCAACCAGCTCACCTAATGCACCCAGTTTCGACCAATCAGTGTACATGTTTGAGCCGGTGTCCGAGAACTGTAAGCTTGGTCAGATGCTAGGATTGGTCACAGCAAGGGACCCCGATCAGGACAGGATATGGTTTTCTATCATAGGTATGCTATATGTTGTTTTTCTTGTTGTTTCAGCGCTTTCATTTGTTCTCAGTTGTCGGGATGGAGTTCTTCGCCATATTCATATTTTTTCTAGATTCCGTAATACTGAAAATGTGATGCAATAAAATCTTACTGATTTCATCCCACAATAAGCTAGTGTCTGGTAATTAACCCACCAATGTCATATACAGTTCAGTAAAATTGCTAACAAATGCTATTTCATTGACCCAATAAGCCCACCCCATCTTTGAGGTAGAGTTAATGTGTTGGCATCCTTGGGCTTATTGCAGAATAAATACTGTGTTAAAGTATGTCTGGATGTTGATTAAGTATGACACGATGTCCTAAAAATCTGTTATCATAATTCTGATTTTGTGAAAATTTAGAAAATATATACCATAATCTTAACTTCTGCAATCTCATGGATGTCCTCAAACCATATATTTCTCTAAATTCTACTAGTGTGACGATGTTCTAAAAGTCTTGAGTTATCTAAATTCTGCTTGCTGTACTTGATGTCATGAAAATCGGCATCAACCATAAGTCCTGCTGTTTCTTGTCATTAGTGCATAATACCTTACTGGGACATTTGACATCACCACCGTTACGAAGGTAATTGATTGAAATGTGACTATTGCCATGTGACATTACAGTTTGTCACTGTTTTTGCTGTAGGTGGTGACGACAACAGTGACTTTCTCATCAGTCCTGTCGACGGAAGTGTACACCTTGCACGACACCTCGATCGCGAGACCAAAGAGATCTACAATCTTACAGTGGCAGCAACAGATGGCGTCCATGAGGCTCAGGCACATGTGAGTTACATTGTAGATATTGAGTAGAGACTTATTGATATCGGTAGAGACAATATTTTCATTTGTCTCACGAACACAATTGTTTTATCTGTATTAAGAAACCATCAACAGGAAGTCCAAAAAGCGTTCACGTAATGCAGGTGGTGTTTTCATACATGTTCAGTTCACAACCCAATCGCTTCGTTGGGGACATTGAAAGTGGCCTCTTAACACAGGTGGTCTCTTAATTGAGGTGGTTGCATGAGCAGGTTTGACTGTTTAATTGATATCAACATCTCTCAGAGATTTCTCTGAATGAGAATTTGAAATTCCATATTAAGCAACAGGTAGATTTATTTCTGTATCATAAGAGTAGTTTGGTGTGAAATTTTGGATTGCAGACATATGTTTTTCGTAATAGTGATATGGTTTTGAATTCCTCAAATTTTTGCTTGTGAAGGATTTTATAGACTGGGGCTGCACTATGTTTAACAGAAATTGATGTTATTTGACAGACAGGTCAAATAGCTTGTACAGGAAAAAAGGTTTCAGTACAATGTGTAATTTTCCTGTTGGAAAAGAATTGTCAGCACTTAAGCCTATCTCTCCACACAATATCATTAACAACATCAAGCTTGGCAGATTTAGCCCGGGATAGGTGCCATGTGTCGTACTTGTGGTCAGTTATATGGTCAGTCTGCCCGAGGTTGTGGGCGGTTTGACCATCATTTGACCATTACCAGATATTGGAGCTGCCTCCCTGTAAACATCTCTAGATCAGCCAGTAATACCCTATATAAACAAAGGTGGAGATGGTTCATGTCCAGTTGTATTTTCGGTTCTGAGTCTGACCTCACTGTGTATTCAGATTCAGTTTTGTTGCTGAGGCTGTGTAGTAATTGTTTATAGTATTCTACTGTAAAAGTGTGGGTGGTATTGTCTTCTTTATAGATCAATCGGGCAGCATTATAACTTCACCTCCATCCTGCCCTGAAAGTCATTTCGGAGATATTGCAAAATTTGTGGTGATGAAATTGCTTATGGAAATGATTGGGCTATACAAAACGATAATAATGTTTATCATTTAAGATGAAAATAATCTTTTCTTACTTTCGATTTTTTTTTTTAAATTGCTGTGCGAAATGAATTTATAAAACAATAACTTATATTTATGCATCACCAATGATGAAACAAACTTTTCCTTTTTTAATAATTTGAAATTTGATTTTTTAAATTGCTAATGAAAATGTTTACGTATCGCCAATGATGAAACAAAATTTTCCTTTTTTAATAATTTGAAATTTGATTTTTTAAATTGCTAATGAAAATGAATGGGTTACGAAATGATCCTTATGTTATGAAACAAACTTTTCTTTTTTTATTAATCTAAATCATGACATTAGAGTCACGAGCATGTGAATATTGAAAAGTTCTTCATGGGAAAATATTAATCTTCTTTCTTTTTCTGTGCATCTATTTATAGACAGGGGTTGGAGAGGGGAGATAACTCTATCATACCCTGACGAGAATAAAAAATGGACAAATTTATTTGGAACTTAATTTTGTGCATCAATGTTTGAGCTATACAAATGTCTGTTTATTTGGCTAGACGTGTCTGATATAACTGACACAATGATTCAACACAGATCAGGTAACACAATTGTTCTGCATTGGGATATATCTCATTGTGTCGGATGTGAGGCAATTTATATCTATTTTCCCTTAACACTTTTTAAAGTTTATTTCAAGTCAAATGTTCATATTCTAGACGATTTATAACGAGCTTCCTATCAGTTAAGTGAAAGATAGGGTGACGAGAAGTGGCAGGAAAAGTGGAAGCGAAGGCCGTTATCATTTGTCAAAATGAAATATCAAAATAAAATGAAACGGTGTTATCATGAATGAAAGGATGACTTTAACAGATAAACATGAAATGAAAGCATGCACTTATGAACCGCTATCGAGATGAATTAGCTCCATTATGATGTGATAGAGATTTTGTTAGCCCCACACTTTCATATTGCTGCCAGAAAGTTGATATTGTTGGAGAGTATGACTTAGTTATTGGATTGGTATCAAGTGCTGGTTTTAGCCAATGTACTATAGCCTAAGTAGAGAGATACGTGGGACAGCTTTACAGATTTAAAGCAGGACTTAGTGTTAATCTGGATACTGACATCAAATAGCCGGCCAGATTTTTTATGGGATTAAGCAAATCGCTTGTTTGAAGTTAGTTTTCTGTTGAAAATTCCTTTCAGCTGTAAGTGGCTGCGATTGCCTTGTGTGTCGCTGTAGATTTCAAATTGAACTTTAGAACAAGATTATGGAAATGAAGGTGATGTTTTATTTATATTTCTGGCCTGCAATGTCGAAACTGGTTTAACCAAATTCCATGTTCCAAACCACAAAAACCACGTATTGTTTGAGTGAAACCGAAATAATTGTTTCTAATTCAATTGAGCTTTCGTTTGAAAGAATTAAAACAAATAACCAAAATATTTCTGTCTGAAACTTTTCCAATTCTGTTAAAAGCAGAAAAAAAGTTAATTACAAAACTTGTAGTTTTGAAGGTCATGCTTGTAACAATATGTGGAAGAGTACATTGATGATGGTATGAACTTCGTAACACTTTCGTAGTGAGACAGGCAGGTTCTATGATGCTCCTCTCCTATATATCCACATTTCAGCAGGGGAAGGACAAAGAAGAATTTCAGTTATGAATAGTAGTAAGACAAACTATATATAAACATTGTGGAATTAATTGTTCAACATAGTAGCCACATGTGGTGTAGGAAACACTTTCCCATCCAAAGCACCTAGTTTTGTCTCCTGAATATTGAGGGGGTGCCATATGATGCCTTCCCTTTTGTTTTTGTGTCCTTTCAGATCCTTCTTTTGTCTTTTCATATAGAATTTGAGTTATGATTTTTGTCCCTGCGTGTTGATGGTGAGGTTAAATATTTTTCTCCTTTACATTTAGTCACATACCCCATGGAAACGCCGTCACAATGTCTGTGATCTCAACCGATTGTGTTACCAGCGCGCATTGTCATACCTGTATGTATCTACAGAAGTACACTTACCTGATAATTGATACAGAACTGAAGCAATAGGTCCTGTTTGTGAGCTGAACAGAAACAAAACTTAGAAACAAAAACACAACAAAATCTCACTCACGATAGCTAGACCATAAATGATTGTCATCTAGAACTTTAAAATAAAAGTTTGAGATAGAAAACAAAACTTTAAAAGGAAAATTCCATTGCGTAAGTGTAGACCATCAATACAGACTGTACCTGATTAAAGAATGTCCATTGTTGGCAGTGAGTTGATGAATATGGTAGATTACACCTTTTATCAGTCCTGCTGGGAACAATGAAAACTTGAAAAAGAAATCCTTTGCTTTTAAGAAATCTATTATATGTAGACACAAATATCTTTTTGAAAATTGAAGAACCTTTCACCTGCCACAGCTACCTCATCTTTGCATCTTATTTCTTCCTTCTTTCTTCCCTTCCATCACTCCCTCTTTCTATCTCTCGCTTCTTCTTCCTATTGTTTCCATTCATCTCTCATTCTTATTGTTCTATTACTGACCCCTTGATTTGTATTCTGACCAATCAAATTCTACCCCTCCCTAGCTCAATATCTCAAATACCATGTTTTGTTATTGATTGAACCTGTGACCTTATGAATTGCTTAACTGAGTTGCCATGTGACCTTGAAAGGTGCTTTCAATTTGTCTGTATTACATAATGAAGTAAAATATATCTCTTTGGTCATTCCCAACCCCTCCGACTCCTGCCCAACCTTTTCTGACCTTTCCTGACTGGGCGTGACATTTTGTTGCATAAAAAGTAACAGTACTGACAGTACAGATTTGATTAACGGAATAGACTGTGCTGAAGTTCGGTAGAACAAAGACGCCATATTTCTGGGGGTTTTGCAACCAGTGTGTGTAGTAGAGTAAGGTGACATAGCTATAGGGGCCGTTCAGATACACAGACCCGTCATCAATCAGAAATCAAATATTGATGAGGACACTAACTGCTTATCGCCTTGCATCGGCTCGGAATCAATTATTCAGCTCAGCAGCCTACCCCAACAGGCCACTTAAGTTGGCGAACTCACGATGTCAACGACAACCATAATTACACCTAATGAAAAAAGACAGTAACAAAAACAAGTAAGAGTAAAAACTGTGGTTTCAAAAGTGCAATAATGGAAAGGCAGAAATAAGCAAATAAAAAAGTAAGTGGTGATATAAAATGGTTATGAAAAATAGGATGGAATATGACTTATATGATTTATGTGAAAGTATGCATAAATCTTTCTTTTTTTCTTTTTTGAAACGAGGAAAAGAAAAAGATGAAATACTCCGTAGCTAGGTGGTACACACAGAGAAAATTTAGGTTAGGAATGTGTCAAGTTGGAAAAAAGTTAGGGAGAGGCGATGGAAGCGTTCCATTTAGAATTACATTTCAGCAGCAAACACGTCAACACATTATGCTTTGAGGGATATTTTCTCTCAAGAGAAAAAAAAAGCTTTACAACTGAATGAATAGCATTGACCTTTAAAGGGATCGGAAATGTGGCTACGCTGGTACTGGGAAGACCTAATTGTGACCACGGACTTGTTGTGTGTGGTAGGTACACCGAGGCAGTCGATAAAAGGGTGGGAACGTCGGCACATGTCGTATAACAGACTGCAAAAACAATAACAAACAGAAAAATAGATTCCAGATAAAAGACATAAGTTCTGCGACCAATAGTCCATTCATGAGGATAATGGCGTCACGAAGATTGCTGATTCATTTTACGGAAGATATAAACTTGTCTGCTCGTCATTCGGTGAATTGAGGTGGCAGGTACTTATAAAGTATGTGTAGGCGAGGAGAGATTTACCTATTAGGGTATTTGATACACTTGGAACATGTACATAAAACACACTCCATGGACAAAACAACATGTAGCACTATGTTTCAAATGACCCCTGCACTTTAAAAGTTGACAGACCATTGTTTTGTAGGTCAGCTCAAATTCAAGAGAGACGTTTTAAAAACAGACGACTTTGGAAATTAAAATCTTGTTTTATCCCTGAATGAATTAAATTCAAAATTTTCAAAGCAGTTGTGCAATTATTTCTGCTTCTGTCTAGCTTTTCCTGTCTTGTACTTTGAACACCCTAGGTAATTAGCTCTAAAGGAAACTGTCTTAATTATTTTTCTAATAATTAATGATTTTGGATAGAATATGATGCATTTCCTTCGTAGTTTGATAGAAATTACAAATCAAAAAGTAATATTTCAAAGAAAATTTTATGTTAGGAACATTATTATGATGTGTATGTACTCTTCGGCTGCTGATGCTGAAAATCTTGCTCTCTTGATACATTCTGTCCGACACCCATAGACAGACAAAAACTGAAATACTGCAACACGCGGTCTACATATATAAAAATTGCATCAACTTTAAGTTGTGTTAATGGTGGGAACATCCAGGAGTGTTACATATATGGTACAAATCAGATTTAAAACATGTGTTTGTTCTAAACCAAGTGGAAAGTGAAAATCAAAGAGAAAAAGAAAGAGGTTAATTCAATACTACTTTTTTTTTCTCTCGCATTTTCAAGTGTCTTTCAAAAAAGCACCATGTGAGATTTCCTAACATGTCGAAGATTTTAAGGCTAAATTGTATAAGAATATTCTTGAATAAAAGCATTTTGCCTCGAAGACACCTAGGAGACCAAGTATTGGGGGTTTCGGTGATGTGAAGTTGATACCATAAACTTCCCCCGAAGTAACAGGTTGAACATCACACGATCACTTTCCAATTCTAAGGATTTGGTGTGGAAAGAAATCCAACTCTCAATGAAAAAGATACTCAGCGATTAATATCCAATTAAAAATCTTCAAAAACAAATATTAATCTTTAGCTATCTGTTGAATGATTTAAGGTGAAGTTTTTAGAGTCATGTACAAACTTATCCTTTAATGTGTTAAAGCACGATATCGTGACTAAGCTATTTTAACAGTGATATTCCTACCAGGTGTGGGATTATAAGATTACCGTATTTCATCTGTAGTAAGTCCTCGCACAGAATTACAAGATTACCGTATTTTATCTATAGTAAGTCCTTGTTCAGGATAAACAACACCCCAACTGTTTATAACCAGCGTGGAGGAGGAGTGCGTTTAGATATACATCTCCTGGCATTAAGACTTGAATGAACCAAGTACTCTAGTACCCTTTAAAAAATACACCACCCCTTTCCTTGGCCCTCCTCCTGGGCTTATCAGAGATAAATCCTGATAGTCCTAAATAATCTGAGCACTCATTATACCCTCTGTCTAAGGAATATACCTCCTGTGGTTATCATAGGTAAATCGTGGTAAGATTACTTACGTTAGGGGGACGTCAGGGTAGAAATAGATCACAAGTGTTCTGGATGTAATTTGCTGTGGGGGAGGAGAGGGAGTAAGGGGGTGGAGGGTGGAACAAAAATATAAATCTTCAAATGAGGGGCTGTAATGTCGGACTGGGTTTCAGATGCTGGATTTTTTGTGGAGGATCTTGTCACTCTTCATTACTTTGGCAGCCACAGCAACAGTATAACAACCTATAGTTATGTGTGATTTACTGGTCCCTATAGTTTAACAATGTGGGATACAGAGACTGGATATACTGTTCAATCCCTTTGTAATTATTTTTGTTCAATAAATCGGAAAAGTGTTATGTTTCAAAAAAATGTGGCTGTTTGTATTTAAGTAGTTTTGGGGAATTAAGTTGGTTCAAGATCAGATTAAAATTTATTTGAAATTAAATTCAACAGTATTAGAATAGAAAAAAAAGTAAAACCTCTTTGCTTTAAAGTTAATTTTCAACTTCAGTTGATAACTATTGCGAAATTAAAAAGGATTTTTCAGTTTTGCACTTAAAATTACTTTAAGATAGTAATGTCCAATTCTCCCTCTGGCATCAACATCGAATTAAAAAAACCTTTTAAGGTAATTTATTTTAAAGATATTTCAAAATAACAGGCAATACATTTATGGTAAATGTTAAAATTAGAAACATGAGTTTTATCTATATTCTATAGGACAGAATTCAGGTTTTGGAGATATGAGGTTTACTATTACTAAGTAAATTTGCTAAAATACTTTGCTGTCTGTTTTTTGTGTGTTAAATCACATATCTGATGAATTTGCAATTTCAAAGGTATTAAACTTTATTGACTTTAAAGTTTGTGATAAATATCCGGTCTTCACTGACATTTTTATTCCACACAAATTAGATGAAGGTTAAATTATGCAAGTTTGAACATTTTACAACAGTCAAATAAATTGTTTATAAAGCTTCAAAAAAGGGAGATTTTTTTTATAGAAGTTAGGAGATTTAGGTATGCAAGTTTAAAAATGTTTATAACATTTATAATAAATTGTTTATAAAGTCCTACAAAGGGAGAAAGCACAGATAGATAATTTATATCTGTAGACAGGCTCCTAATATGACAATAGAAAAGAAACTATTAAATCATTCACCCCTAAAGAAACATTTGAACTCTTCCAATTCAAAGGCTGGAACAGCCCATTAAGAAATTTCAGGGGTGAATGAGTTAAACTCGCTCGTTGCTGTAGCCAATAAGGCAGGTTTTGCTGAGGTAGGCTTGTAGTCACTGTTTAATTTTGTCTAAATAGGCCAAATAATTTGGCTCTGACAATGACAACATATAACAAATAAACATGCTACAATCATGAATTCTTTGTAAACTGACCAAGTTATGTTCTCGCAGGGATGTCCTAGTGAAATATAACGGGTTTCTTTCTATTAAAGTTTTCTGAATTGTAAATAAATATTCATCCTTTTTTCATGAAGATAAAGGATATTAATTGTTTTCATTCTACATTAGGAATATGATGACTTTGGTCACTTTTAGTCGGAGAACTTGGTGAATTTTGGATTATGTAACAAGCATTTTCCTATTAAAAGTTATGAATGGTTATGGAGCCAGGAAACAGTCTACAATGTTAGCGAAAATGCATGTCCAGTGTGCATTTGACATGATCTGACTATTTTAAACACAGCCATCCTACATTAAAGTCATATCTCTGCTGTGTTTTGTCTTCACTAATGAAGGACAGAGAAAGTTACCTATCGTCAGCTGTCCGGGTTCGTTATCATACACAGGCGATTTGTGTGTTGATAGTGTGTACACTAGCATAGTCTCCGCACCAGCTATCCACTACATCAGACCGCTATGAACATTGATATGTAAGATTGGCAGTGAGATAGATCTGATTTATTCACGAAACTAATTCCAGGTGCGGTAAGGGGAACATGTGTTTTTATATTATCGTACCCCCCAGTCATTGTATTGTCAACATTTGGTTTTGGTTAGAGCTGCAGAATTGGGAAAAATAAACAGGGGAGATAAATCTGTTTAATATATAAGTAAGCATCCAAGGAAATGTAGAGATCTATTCATGTGTATTAATGTTAGAAATAATAGTTTGTTTGTTTTCACCAGGGCTGCAATATCAGAGAAATGCAGGGGAGATAATTATGTGAAATGATAGTATGTTTTTATCAGGGCTGCGGTATTCGGTGGAAAAAATCAGGAGAGATAACTAGGTTTCATCGACTCCAAAAGGAAAAAAAGAACAGAAAGAGAAACCTGCTTAAAGATGATTGCATTATTAATGAAAACGATGGTATTCATTAGCACTGCAATTTAGGGGAAATAGGGGAGATAACTGCTTTATGGACATCTTATGGAAAAAAATGAAAGAAGAAATGGAATCCTGTTAGATGATTACATTAATTTATGGAAATTGTATGATATTATAATATTACAGTGATGACTAGTAGGTAATATTGCTAATTACTTTCGTGTACCTACTAAGGGTCTTACTCAGAGGAAAAATGGGGCTTCTTGTAACTTTCCTCTGTCATGTCTTTGATCTATAGATGATATTTATATTCCTGCTGATATTGTTTAAGTGATTTGTAAAGGGCTTGAACTCAAACAACACATGTTTATCTTTGTTATTTTTACCAGATTAATATGAACTTAAATTACAAGGATACAGATGTTCATAATTAACAAAGAAAATAATAGATTCATGAAAAAACCAAAACTTGTTGATTTTTTTTCCAAATTTGACAAAATTGAGATTAGAACGTCAAATGTATTCATGTTTTCTGTTAATTGTACAAATAAAAAAGACAACATGTTTATTTCGTTGCAGTAGTTTTCTGTTTTCATGTCTATAGTAAATCTAGTACATGTAAAACATTCAGTTAACAAATACACTGACATGGAATCTTGCCTAAAGAGGCGTTTTAACTGATTTCCATATCCCTGTGGTGCTATTTCCCCAGGTTGTGCTACGAGTTCTGGACAGTAACGACAATTCCCCGATGTTTACCCAGCCTCAGTTCCACGCCAACGTGTCCGAGAATGCAGCCATTGGGACCAAAGTTCTTCAGATCACAGCTGTGGACAGAGACAAAAACAGTCGACTATTCTACACCATCCTGGCTGCAGCTAACAGTCTCACTGACGACAAGTTTGAAATAAACTCTGAAACAGGTTAGTTTGGATAAAAAAAATAAACAGGAAGAAGCTGGAGATATGTCCTCCCAAACCCTAATTAACTTTTATTTTCATGTTCAGTAAGAAAACCACACTCCAGTAATTGTTTCATACTCCCATCTGACCGAAAATAATTTACTCCTGAAATCTGAAGTTGTGTGTAATGGTTGAGTTTCAGGAAGTCTTAGACATCTGTAGGTTATACCACCAAGTCAGAAGTGATGCTATAGTTTAATTTTTGCCATGATGCACTTGTCATATTTTGTCGAGTGTCATATTTTGTTTGAGAATATGGGCCACAAACAGACCTGAAGCCACGCAATCTGTTTTAATTGAAGACAAGAAATCCTTTTGTGGCTGGTGATTGTATAGCCGGGAGGAAATGACATAATTCTATTGATTACTGTGTGTTTAACTGTACCTAATGTCTTTTCATGTCACACCATCCAAGAAATCACAGGCAAACGCCAATCAGGCTGCAATGATTTTTGTTGCCATGGTTATCAGTATTGTTAAAAAAGTTTGATCTATTTAAGATTGGCAAAGTCTGTGAAAAATTGATGATTGGCTAGATTTCTTGTTCGACATACAAAGAATATTCCAATTTTAGCATCAGCTTCGATTTTGTGTTTTACAAACAACAGATATTAAATTTTAGCACCAGCAAAAATTTAAATTAAATACGATCGTAAAAAACAACTTTGTAAGGTTATGCTAGTGCTTTTATCTGGGTCTAGATTAAATGGAATGAGGTTTGTTTAATAAATAATCAATAATCACTAATTTTGGTGAAACTCTTTGAAAACATATTTGATTATGACCTTTGACATGACAGGTGTAATCCGAGTGAACCAGGAGCTTGACCGCGAGGTGCAGTCAGTGCACCATTTAACAGTGATGGTGCGTGACCAGGGGAAGCAATCTCACCGAAACTACACCTACGTTACCATCCAAGTGCTTGACCACAATGATTATGCTCCCGAGTTTCTGGAGGATATCATCGAGGGTCGTGTATTTGAGACAGCAGCCATTGGTACCTCCGTAGTTGAGGTCATGGCTATTGACAAGGACAAAGGTCAAAACGCAGAGTTATCCTTCTCCATCACATCAGGTAAGGGAGATAACTCCTGTATCATGAAGGTTTTCCACCCATGTTTGATTCTATAATAGATCACGTATCTATATCATGAATCGTCAGTGTTTTATTGAGAGAAAAAAAACTTCAATGTGGATAAATCTTCAGAAATGGACAAATTGTTTGACCAATTAAAGATCAGTCTCTGTGAATCTGATTTGTCCATTTGCAATTTACATGTAATATCAAAATACCACGCCATCATGTGTGCTGTAGTTGACCTTGGCCTTCGTGAGTAGTGAAGTAGACAGCTGGAACACTTTGTCATACAAACAAGTAAATAAGATTAGCTCATCTTCAAGGGAATAGCTTTGGACTTTATGTACTTAGATGTATGAAAAAAATATCAGTTAAACCCATAGGGATATTTATTGTCTTTCATCCTGTGATGTGGATGTGTTGTATTTTAAGACGATATCTATGTATTTATACAAATATTATTGAGGTTAAGGTTATAAACTACAAACAATTTCACAGAAGTACTCATGTACAGGACAACCACTGACTCTAGTGTGTATAAGTGTTAGATTTGTACAGGACATCCACTGACGCTAGTGTGTATAAGTGTTAGATTTGTACAGGACATCCACTGACGCTAGTGTGTATAAGTGTTAGATTTGTACAGGACATCCACTGACGCTAGTGTGTATAAGTGTTAGATTTGTACAGGACAACCACCGACTCTAGCGCGTATAAGTGTTAGATTTGTACAGGACAACCACTGTCTCTAGTGTGTATAAGTGTTAGATTTGTACAGGACATCCACTGACGCTAGTGTGTATAAGTGTTAGATTTGTACAGGACAACCACCGCCTCTAGTGTGTATAAGTGTTAGATTTGTACAGGGCAACCACCGACTCTAGTGTGTTTAAGTGTTAGATTTGTACAGGACAACCACTGACTCTAGCGTGTATAAGTGTTAGATTTGTACAGGACAACCACCGACTCTAGCGCGTATAAGTGTTAGATTTGTACAGGACAACCACTGACTCTAGAGTGTATAAGTGTTAGATTTGTACAGGACAACCACTGTCTCTAGTGTGTATAAGTGTTAGATTTGTACAGTACGACCACTGACTCTAGTGTGTATAAGTGTTAGATTTGCACAGGACAACCACCGACTCTAGTGTGTATAAGTGGTAGATTTGTACAGGACAACCACTGACTCTAGTGTGTATAAGTGTCAGATTTGTACAGGACAACCACCGACTCTAGTGTGTATAAGTGGTAGATTTGTACAGGACAACCACTGACTCTAGTGTGTATAAATGTTAGATTTGTACAGGACAACCACTGACTCTAGCGTGTATAAGTGTTAGATTTGTACAGGACAACCACCCCCCCTAGTGTGTATAAGTGTTAGATTTGTACAGGACAACCACCGACTCTAGCGCGTATAAGTGTTAGATTTGTACAGGACAACCACTGTCTCTAGTGTGTATAAGGGTTAGATTTGTACAGGACAACCACTGACTCTAGTGTGTATAAGTGTCAGATTTGTACAGGACAACCACCGACTCTAGTGTGTATAAGTGGTAGATTTGTACAGGACAACCACTGACTCTAGTGTGTATAAGTGTTAGATTTGTACAGTACAACCACTGACTCTAGTGTGTATAAGTGTTAGATTTGTACAGGACAACCACTGACTCTAGTGTGTATAAGAATTAGATTTGTACAGGACAACCACTGACTCTAGTGTGTATAAGTGTTAGATTTGTACAGGACAACCACTGACTCTAGTGTATATAAGAATTAGATTTGTACAGGACAACCACTGACTCTAGCGTGTATAAGTGTTAGATTTGTACAGTACAACCACTAACTCTAGTGTGTATAAGTGTTAGATTTATACAGGACAACCACTGACTCTAGTGTGTTTAAGTGTTAGATTTGTACAGGACAACCCCTGACTCTAGTGTGTATAAGTGTTAGATTCGTACAGGACAACCACTGACTCTAGTGTATATAAGAATTAGATTTGTACAGGACAACCACTGACTATAGTGTGTATAAGTGTCAGATTTGTACAGGACAACCACCGACTCTAGTGTGTTTAAGTGTTAGATTTGTACAAGACAACCACCAACTCTAGTGTGTATAAGTGTTAGATTTGTACAGGACAACCACTGACTCTAGTGTGTATAAGTGTTAGATTTGTACAGGACAAGCACTGACTCTAGTGTGTATAAGTGTTAGATTTGTACAAGACAACCACCAACTCTAGTGTGTATAAGTGTTAGATTTGTACAGGACAAGCACTGACTCTAGTGTGTATAAGTGTTAGATTTGTACAGGACAACCACTGACTCTAGCGTGTATAATTGTTAGATTTGTACAGGACAACCACTGACTCTAGAGGGCATAAGAGTTAGATTTGTACAGGACAACCACTGACTCTAGAGGGCATAAGAGTTAGATTTGTACAGGACAACCACTGACTCTAGAGGGCATAAGAGTTAGATTTGTACAGGACAACCACTGACTCTAGAGGGCATAAGAGTTAGATTTGTACAGGACAACCACTGACTCTAGCGTGTATAATTGTTAGATTTGTACAGGACAACCACTGACTCTAGTGTGTATAAGGGTCAGATTTGTACAGGACAACCACCGACTCTAGTGTGTATAAGTGTCAGATTTGTACAGGACAACCACCAACTCTAGTGTGTATAAGTGTTAGATTTGAGATAAGGATGTTGAACTCAATAAACTTGATCCTTTTCTACCAATTTCACACTGGTCAGTATGTGGTCAAGGGGTTCTCTCACCAGCTAGAAATTCTTAGTAAGCACTGCTGTAGTACCCGTTGGTTGACCGGTTAAATAACTACTACCCGTGTTTGGTCAATCTCTTTCCTGTAAAGGTGTTTAGTGGCCTCGTTGTGTTCTATGTAAACACTGGAGGGTTCTATTCAAGAGTACTTTTCTGGTCTTGCCAAGGTTAGGGTTGTCTTTAGTTCAGTTTAGGTTTGTTTTTCTATTGAGTTAAGAGCTAAATTTGAGTTGCTTGTAATAGACACACTACTCCACTCTAGTAAGTAGATTTTTGTTGATACTCGACAGTCCATTGGACTCTGTAGTTTGTTTACGGTCCTTGAAAATATTGACCTTTTTCGCTGAATATGTGGAGGACTATATCTGGTTTACGTCCTAATATCCTGTCCAGCTACATGATATGTACTTTTGGAAGAGGTCAACCTCTTCAACTAATGGCTCAAAAAACGCTTTTCATATGTTTTGTTTACACTATAATTACTCGTCTACTGCCCCTATTTCAATCCTGAATGTTATACCATCAACTTAATCAGCATTGAACATGATATGTCCCAGGATTTCTTGACTGATGTTAATAAAATAAGATCCAAATATCCAAATATAAAAGACGAATTTGCCTAATTTGGCCTTTGAATTGGAGAAAATTACATTTTCATGCCTTGTCAATAGGTCGTATATGAATAGGCTGCCGTATGACATGATAATGTAGGAATAGGCTGTCGTATGACATGATAATATAGGAATAGGCTGTTGTATGATATGATAATGTAGGAATAGGCTGTCATATAACATGATAATGTAGGAATAGGCTGCCGTATGACATGATAATATAGGAATAGGCTGTTGTATGATATGTTAATGTAGGAATAGGCTGTCATATAACATGATAATGTAGGAATATGCTGCCGTATGACATGATAATGTAGGAATAGGATGTCGTATGACATGATAATATAGGAATAGGCTGTTGTATGATATGTTAATGTAGGAATAGGCTGTCATATAACATGATAATATAAGAATAGGCTGTCGTATGACATGATAATGTAGGAATAGGCTGCCGTATGACATGATTATGTAGGAATAGGCTTTCGTATAACATGATAATGTAGGAATAGGCTGTCGTATGACATGATAATGTAGGAATAGGCCGTCGTATGACATGCTTATTTAAGGTATAGACTGCCCAATGTTGTGCCCTTTAACAAAAGTTTGTTCTTCTGATACAATTATCCAGTGTATATAACAGGGGTGATGACTGTTTTCCTCTGGCATCACAGTATGATTACACCAGGCTGTCTGGTGGGGAAGCTGTCCCAGCCATCCCTATGGTGGAATACATTAACACCTATGGACTTGTAATGAGCTAGGTCGGCCCGGGATTATAAGCTTTGATCTATTCACCTAATTGTTATGTCAGCAGGACTGTACTCAGGGGAAACAATGTATAATTGCAAAGCTGTACCACAGAGAGAGTTCATGCCAGTATATATAGTAGCATAACCTTTTTGAATTTCATTAAACAGCTTCGAAATTACTGCTGTTTTAATTTTGCATTTTCGAAAAAAAAGTTGCATATTTACAGTGTGTTTGATTCATACTGGCATTTCGAATTCACATCTTTTACCAAACTGGAGGAAATTCTCTTTTGAAGAAGTAATTTCTCAAAACTAATTCTAACAATGAAAATTACACTACAGTAAAACTAGCCCTGTGTGCAGAAGTGTCCCTGTGCGACAAGTATATGAGGCTTTTAATACCAAAGTTCGCTACTTGATTAGGCAAAAGACATAAAATTGATCACCTAAAAATACTTTCTAAATAAAAGTTGAAATTTAACTGGTTTTATTAATTGATTAAACACTGTTATTTCAGGAAACATTGGAAGGATGTTTGAAATTGATGAAACTTTGGGAATAATCACTGTCGCCCAGGAGCTTGATAGAGATGAGATGTCTTCATACAAACTGACAGTCATGGCAATGGATCACGGATCACCACCCCTCAGCAGTACTGTCACTGTGACAATATTGGTTACTATATCTAACAACGCTGCCCCGAAATTTGTCTCGGCTGAGTTTATGGCTGAGGTCCGTGAGAACTGCCCCCTGGGAAGTCACGTGATTCCCGTGGAGGCTGTTTGTCAGTCGTCAATGTTGTTTGATATCGTAAGCGGTAATGAGGATGATGTGTTCAGCATCAACCCAAATTCTGGCATCATCTACACGAAGGACAAAGTTGACTACGAAACATGTGACCAATACAACCTGACGGTGTCGGCAACCAATATTGTAGGCGCAACCTCTACTGTACGGGTTGTCATCCTGGTCCTCGACCTCAATGACAATGCCCCGGTGTTTGATGAGACCATGTGCGAGGGCAAGATAAGCGAAAGTGCCCCTGTCGGAAGTGTTATCCTCAGCATGGGATTGGAACCCTTGGTAGTCCATGCAACAGACCTTGATTCATATAAAAATTCACATGTTACCTACAAGATAACTGACCCAAAGGGTAGTAAGTACTTCTCCGTAGACTCTGCCACCGGAGCAATCAAAAGCATGACTGCCCTCGATCACGAAGAATTCGACAAGATTGAGTTTTACGTGTATGTATGGGATAAGGGTTATCCTCAGCTTCAGGCTATTGAACCAGCGAAGGTTGTCATCCATATTGTCGATATGAACGATAACCCACCGTACTTCACACAACTATCATACCATGCTGATATTTTATTACCGACTACGGAAAACGTCGAAATAATCAAACTTAATGCTACGGACATTGATTCAATCAACAAGGACACTTTAGAATTTAGCATTGTGGAAGGCAATGCTGATGACAAATTCAAGATTAATTCTCAAACTGGACAGATCTTTATAAAAAATAAAGCCGATTTACAGGAAAGTTATGAATTAGGTGTTGAGGTTACTGATGGGAAGTTTAAATCAGCTTCTACCCTGACCATTTCGGTGAGCTCTCCCGTGGAAGAGGTGTTTGTGTTCAGTAAACCAGTGTACTCTGTCAATATTACAGAGAACACCCCAGGCCCTCAGACACTCACTGTCATACAAGTACTGGATCCCATGAACCAGCACCTAGTGTTCACACTGTTGAACCACCAGGATTTGTTCAGTATTGTCCAGACATCTGGCGTCCTCCAGACAAAGGACCAGAGTTTTGACCGGGAAGAAAACACACGGTACACTCTGGTTGTTTCTGTCCGAGGGGAGTCTGGGCAGATTGCACATGTTCTTGTCGAAGTGAACATTCTGGATGAGAACGACAATGACCCACAGTTTGTGAACCAGCCCTATGATACAGTGGTTGCGATTGGTCTGCAGACAGGTGAACTAGTCCGACAGGTAGGTCAAGGTCATCAGATTGCATAATTAATTACTTATATGCATGAGTAGATACTGTTTACCGGGAATTTCTTTCCTGCAGTTTAATTTTTTCGCCTTGTTGCCCCGAGTAATGAGGATGAATTTATCAGTACAGTGAACATTGGTAAAGGAAAAGTAATTAAATAAGAAAGGCAAATATAATAATGGGTGAAAATGGATTTTTCGATCCATGTGCGACATGTGTGTGAAAGTGACGATTTGTTTCTAAAATATCAGGTTGAAGTGCGAACAGGGTGCGGGCCACTTATTTCCCGCATATTATAGAGGGCCAGAGTTCTGATGTTAATAATTCGGACTAATGGGATTGTAGTTTTAACAAATCATTGTTGTAAGTATTATTAAATTGAATTCATTTAAACTAAATTTTATTCTCTAATATCATTTAGGTAACTGCTATTGACCGAGACAGTGGAAGCAATGGCCTGGTCAAGTTTACCGTGGTGACAGGATACCAGGACAAGTTCAGCATCGGGACCAATGATGGACGAATCAGTCTGGCCAGTCCCCTTGACCAAGCTGACCAGAACAGGGACTTTGTGCTGACCATCAGGGCTAGCGATGAAGGTAGGGAGGATTTGCTGTCTGCCACTATGGCAATATATATTGCAGATAATTTCTTTCCAAGTTCAGCTCATCTAAACAGAAACCTGGATAATCTGTGTAAATCTGTATCAATCTTCGTCTTGATCACTCTTTGTATAATTCTATGTTATGTTTAAGGATGAATACTACCTTATAGAAATTATCTATTTCATTTTATTAGCTCATCCAATATTTGAGAATTAGCTGGTAGTGATATTTATCAACGCATTGTTGTATAGAAATCAAAAGGGTCGTCAATTTACGAACCAAGACCGATCGTCATTCGTCAAACATATTTGACTGATTTCTTCATGTAGAACTCTTTAGGAAGGGATGTTTAAGTCACATTAATGTAGCTTGTACACTTAACACAAATTTAACTGTGTCTGTGAGATAATGAAAACCTTTTGAATAACACTTTTTGCCAATACAAGACTTTGCTATACATATGTTTTAAGTATTGCAATTTTCATCAAAGGTATCACATATATTTTCTGCTATATTTAGACATGAAATTTAATGTCTAGGTACCCCTCCTCGAGCTGTAGACGTCAATGTTACCATCTCAGTGATCAGCAATGCCCACCCTCGCTTTGAGCAACAGTTCTACACGACGACCGTCCGTGAGGATGTCCAGCTCCATACACCGGTCATCAGTGTCCGAGCGGTCAGCCCCAATGGACACAAACTCATCTACACTATAATCAGTGGCGACATGTACAAAGATTTTGATGTGGACTTCAACATAGGTGGGTGGTGTTTTCAGCTGTGTTGCTATATTTGATTAAAATTACTTTTTTTTACATTTTACTACATAGAGAAGAAGGTCGTCCCGTGACTCTGTCTTTTCATCACTTTTTATATTTCAAAGGAACTTTTTTAATAGCAATAACAAAATTAATTATCATGAACCAGCTACTTTTTAGTGTGTAGAATTATAACTGGGACATCAGAATCTTTTGCAAGTTTTTAACATTAGAAACCTGTTCAGGGCATTCTTATTTCTGATTGGTGCCTGCGGTATGGTGAGGTGCCTTGTAAATGTCCTTGGTTATAGATTCCATACTGTCCAGTCGCAGGGCAACCACTAATTCAACTATCACTTAGGTTGGCAGTGTAGCTTTTACAATTGTCCATCACGCTCATACATTTTCATGAATCAGAGCTAATATACATAATGTCTCATAGCTATTTAGAATTTCATAATGCTGGAGCTGTCATCAACTCGTCATTCATTTGGCTCTGTCAGCGAGTCTATTTTTAGCTAGTCTGCGTAGGTCAATTATTCACTGATTATCATATGTATAAATTGAAAGACCAAATTGGGGGCAAAAAAAAAATTGTAGTGTAAAATAACTAGAACATTAAGCTAACAATTGTTCATGACTGCATTGTTATCTTGACTGTGACAATGGTATAAAATGAGTCCTCAGTGCACAGTGGGGATGATTGTTAGCCAGTACCATATCATGTCATTGTGTTTAACCATTGAGTTGCGCTTATTTGCAGTGTTGTGTGGTGATACTTTCTCCCCAAATGACCTTGACCCTGACTTTGACCCCTGCCCATTTACTGTATCACTCCCATGGTGTAGGGAAGTCCTAATGATGTCCCCACCCCACCTCACCCTCACTCTGTTCTGTGTAACCAGTGGTGTATATAGGGTCAACTACTGCTTGCTCTATTCTTCATTTTCAAGCATGTTGGGTATTTCATTGTATGGTGAAATGAACAATTTTTTTTTAGTTCACATACAAAAATTGTATATATATTAGAAAATATGAATTACCTTTCTTGTCGATTTTTTGGTATGATTATTAAAAACCCATTAATTGCCTATATGTTTTCGGTTTTGGTCGATTTTGTTTCATTTTTCGTTTTTAATATTTTACTTTTCTTTCACATCTTAAGGTACTAATATATATAAATACATATAGGCATATGTTTATTTTTGCACTTTTTTTTTTGCTGTCTTTAATTGTTTTAAAAATAAATCTTTTCACTTTAAACTTACAGAGAACCATAAAACTTGTTTAGAAACCAAAGTGAGTTTTCCCTTGTCTCTTTAGTGAAACGTAAAAAAGATTGTCCTTTAACAGAAAGCCAAATATCTATCTCCTGTGTTTAGTGTAGCCGAACAGAAAAATAAATCATCTGCCCTTCTGAATTAGGCGTCCAACTTTTCATTGGTAGTAATGTGAGCACTTCCTGTTGGGCTAGGCCTACCCCCGGGGTTGATGGACTAGGTGTTGGCAATCCATCTCGGCTGTACTAATTGCGTGCTTAATACGACAGAAAGCTTTCACCATCAACTCATTAACTGGAATTATTTGTGGACGTTTTAAATTAAACAGGAGTGTTATGTTCTAACAAACTGTTCTCTATTTGTCATTTCCATAGGCGTTGTGTCATGGATATTTTAATTGATATTTTCCTTGTCTGTTTGAAATTTGGTTTTGCGTTTTTTTGCTGATAATTTCCTTGGGAAATCCTGAATGATTAGCATGGAATTTTGTTCCTGAAATTTTGTTCAAAGTTTTTGGTTAACGTTGATGATTGATTAAATTCATAATAATGAAGTCTGAGCGAGCTACTGAGTCGGTGTACAATTTAGCATTTCAGTATGTTGGGCAAAGTTTACCTCCCTTCGTGTAATACAAACGCTTTAAATATTTGATATAATGTTTTTTCTTTTCTTCATAAAAAATATTCAAACATTACCTAGCAAGCTAAATGAATTAAGATGTGTGTGTTTTTTAACATACACCTATATCATACCACTATTTATTGTCAGTATTTATAAGTTCTACATTATATTTCTTTCTTCTACTGATTTTTCTAAAGTTTGATATAAATTATCACACTTTCACTATATTTGCAAATTTTGGATTTCTTTTTTTTTAAAGTCAAAATTTTGCTTTTATTCATACATACATATATTTATTTTTCCGCTTAAGATGTTTCTGAAGTTATGGGAAAAAAATTCTAATTTCACAATATTTGCTGGTTGTGGAAATATTTTTTGCTAATTCAATGTATTTTATTTCCTTTGAATTTGTTGTGTACCTCTGATACCACGTCCACCACCACTACCAACATCACCAATCTGTCCCTACTCTATGCCTTATGTGTTTCTACAAAGGCACGGACGCACTCGGCCCGTGTGAGTATCTCTCCCACGTAACCTATCTACACGCGACGCCAACTTTGAACGCTTGCCTCTGCCTGGTGTCATGACTTCAAGCATTGCATTCTGTTTGTGAATTGTTTGATTTGTGCATTTTTCCTTGCACTTTTAACAAGGGTTTATTTTTTCCTTTTGTGTTTTTTTTCATTTTTTGCATTTTGCAATTTTCAAATAAAATTACAATTCAACTTTCGAGGTAAAACATATTTTTTTCTTTTAAAATATTTGAGTACGTTATTAAAATTAAGTAGCAAAAAGTTATAGTATTAGTTTTCATTTCTTCACCAAAATTAAAAATGAGTTAAGTATAAGTTTAAGTTATGAACATTTGTGTTATTTATTGTTCTTTGATTGTTACTTTGGTTTTCTATCCATGGTTGAACCACGCCCCTTAAATCCTTTCTGTTACAACCCAACACTCCCTCCCTTACCCCACCTCCGTAGTAGATCCAGCCAATCATATCCTTTTCACTCTCTCACATTTCATACCTAAAGCCATTTTTTCGCCTTGCTTTATTTAATATATTATTTCTCAGTGCATCCATCCATATGTTACTAACTGTCTTCAGGACAGATTTTCTCTTCAATAGGAATTGCTTTTTACCAAACTGTGAACAGAATATAATTGCACTTCTTTAAAATATGCCTGCAAAAAGAGGTCACAAGAACTTATCTGTTTCTAATTAGTTTATGTAGACAAGAATATACTGTCAAATGCCATCCATCCAGCTATCAACAATATCAGGATGTCCCGCTATTTAGACAGACTTTTGGTTGAACAGTACTTTAAATTGTACATGCAACATTGTCCAAATGATCTTGACATTCACTGCAGCCTCTTGTTAACTGGGAAAGGATGTTTCTTAAGTATTGCAGTTCTACTGACTAATTTTGTCTTCAAGAATGCTGAGAAATTTATCAAAATGTACCCGAGCAGACGATAGCATTTTTCAATTTGTTGCATTTCAAAACTTATGTTCTTCTTTTGTATTAAAATCTTTTGACAAATTTTGTTGCTTTCGACAGATATCTTGAAATGTTTAGAATTTTATTTTTGCTGTCACGTTTTTATCAGTCCTTGAATGAGAAGTGCATTTTGGGTCAAGGCCATGAGAAGTGCACAAAGTCAAGGCCATGTCAGGGTACTTCTGATTGGTTGTTCACATAGGTCACCTCTAACACGAACTCTGTATAAATATCTTAAGTCTTTATAATTAAAAACGAAAAATATAATCAATTAAAGTATTTTAATTAAGTTTTTAAAGTGTTAAAACAATCAGGAAACCAACACAGCCTTGATATTAGGTGTTATGTATCTGAAAAGAATGTATTTTAGTCCAATGTCATCTTTGAAATTATTATTTTTAATGATTTAGACAAAGTCAGATCTATTTTTGGGATTAAACAATCTCATCTTTCCCTGCATCATTGAATCCTACCAAGCTTGCATTCCTCCACTCATCGCAAGGAAGGAGCTCAGTCTATTTCTTCATTATGAAATATCTGTTACTGATTCGACATATTAGCGAAACAGTGGGATTTGGTTACAAGTAAAGATTATTTCATTCAATCTTTCTCGTATTGCCAAGGGTCTCACTTCATTTAAATAAACTCTCATCATCAGCTTATCTATTATTTTTGCCTACACATATCTGTAATTTGACAAATATGTAATTAATGTCTCTGATATTGTGAAATTCAGTTTAAATTCTGGACATTTGACATCATGCATATACTGAAGTTTAAGCTTACCAATCTTTAACGAGTTGAGAAGAAATTCTCTCAAATAAATAGATATTATTTTTTTCGTAAAATTTGTAAATTTGTTTGTGCTCTAACAAACTGTTTGTGCGTGTTGATTCAGATGAGGATTAATAATATTAGAATTCTTGTGAATGTTTGAGGAATATGTCTGCGTTGATCTAATGGTTACCTGTGTTTGATAGTGTTAATGTGTGTGTTTATTAGTAAATAGTGTTGGGTTATAATACCCCTACAGGTTGATAAGATCCCAGAGTGGGAGACTGTACAACGGATCAGTAAATAGGGACACGTACATCTAAATTGATACAAGTCCAATGTTTCATGGGTCCTTGTTTATGGTGAGCTAGTTATTCGTGATATCAAAATTTGAATTTTATACGAGTCAAGAAGTTTGAAGGTTTGCGGTTGTATAACAGGCTAGTAGTTTACGGATGCTACAATCTAACGGTATGTAACTTGAAGAGTTCCTAATTGGTCAGTAGCGTAGGATACGTATGAAATATATGAGTTTTTTAGTATCAAAGTTTGTGACTGTATGGAGGACAGATAGTATACATCTCCTTAAATCTAACTGTATGTTAGTTGATAAGTTCTAATGTTGTGGCCCTATTGTAGTTTAGAATACTAAAACCTAACTGTATTTGAGTCCAACAGCTCTGGGTTTGTGACAGAATATTGAGATTTTATTTAGGTATACTTAAATCAAAACTGTTTGTCAGTTGAAAAGTTTCATTGTTTTGTCCCTATGATGGGTCAGTAGTATAGGCTAACCTAATTGTGTAAGACTCCAGTTCATCCGGGTTTGTGACAATATTCTTTGTTTAGGGATGCTAAAATCTTGACACAGTATAATTACAATATGGATCAAACAGTTCCAGGGTTAGTGACCCATTAAGGTCTTGAAGCTATTTAGGGATACAATAATCTAAAAGTACAATGGACAGAAATTGTGGTGTTTGTAATACTGTGAGGGACTTGATGTTACTTAAGAAGATATCGTATACTTGTTCTTATTGACACCGCTTTCTCCTCCGACACTGAAATCGGGAACCAAGCATGCGTTAAAATATCTACAGAAGTTTGCATAAGTCCTTGTGGGATTCGTTACTGCATGATGTTTCTGCCGTTTGCCGCACTCTAATTAGTATCTTGCTGAGTTTGTTTTGCTAGTTGCATGCATGCAATTTTTTCATAACTGCGAAGCAAGGGATCACGATAGTGCCATGGTAATTGGGTGAAGACACATAGTCTTGCCCGACAGGTATTACAAAAATATATGCACATGACATGTACCATTATTTATCCTGCCAGAGTTAATTAGTGTTATGAACTTGAGGATACCCTTGTATGTAGCCTCCTTATACCAATCATATTCTGATTGCATACCAATTATCTTGCTAGCATACCAAGTATTAATGATATATTGCCTCTTGTCAATCACCACCTTTGCTGGTATGTGATATTGCTCTGGTCTAAGGGGCATAACTCTTACTAAAAATATTTCAGTCAGCTACTGTTAGTTTTCTTCTCTTTTAAATAAGATCTAAAAGGATTACTATTTCTGAAGTGCTTCTCTGCTACATTTGACTGTAGCTACCATTTCTGGTTGGAAAAATATTTGCTGGCTATGGTTCGTTACAAATATATCAAAATTATGAGAATTATTATATATGATGTACAGCCTGCAGTGAATTAATTATAAATGTTGAAGTTCATGATTGTTTTGTTATCTAATTATCTTGTAATTCTATATAAATGCTATCAGATGATACTTAAAATATCAACTGTAATAACATAAGTACATTGATTTTTTATGTTTATGTCAGAATAAGTTTACCATAAGGTAGATATTTATTGTACATGTAGAATTGTTGTTCAAACTTCGATGGTGATTATATACTAGGTCAATCATTTCCTAATCAGTTAACAACTAAATGTGATTTTACAATATACACTGCAACAGGCTATATCCTATACCTCATCTACCTGTCATAGCAAAATCTGATATTAAAAAGTACATTGGGACAGTACCAAGCTTCCCCTGGTTTTCTTATTATTTAAAAGAAAGAAATATGACAATATACCTGTATCTGAATACCTGAAACACACCTAAGAATACTTAACCTTAATTACAGGTGTTGTGGATGTGGTCAGTCCGCTGGACTATGAGGTCACCAAGGGTTACGAGCTTGTCATCCAGGCAGCAGATGTTAAGACCAGCGCTACAGCCACGGCAACAGTGAGAGTTATCGTTACTGTAAGCATAAGTCTTCACATACTCATCGTTACTGTAACTATTAATTACTCTTAACATACTCATCGTTGCTGTAAGTATTAATTAGTCTTCACATACTCATCATTACTGTAAGTATTAGTCTTCACGTACACATCATTACTGTATGTTTTAAATGTCAAACAAGTTTTGAATTAAGGACACAAGTGACGTATACCTGTAATAATACTGTGTAATCTTTGAATTTTCAAAAAACCTGGAAAATATATTTTAAGGAGCCAAAAAGATTTCTCACATGTAACAATGTCTTTTATTTCAGGATGTTAATGACAATGTTCCAGTTTTCACCAACTACAAGTACACTGCTCTCCTGTCTGAGGCGGTTGGTGTAGGGATGTCTGTCGTCAAGGTACATGCCGACGACGATGACCTTGGAAGTAGTGGGTTGGTGTTCTACAGTATAGAACCCCTAACAGAGGGCAGCACCGACCCCGATTTCTTCACCATCGACAGTCAGAGCGGACTGGTCAGTCTTATACAACCCCTTGACCATGAAGTGCAGACTGACTTCACATTTGTTGTTCGGGCGACAGATGGAGGTCTACCAGCTTCCAGCAGCAAGGTTTACGTACATGTCATTGTGGAAGACTTCAACGACAATGCACCCCAGTTTGACCAGCCCTCATATGACTGTTCTATCACAGTGCAGACGACTGGTCAGATTGTTACCAGGGTAACAGCCTCTGACCCTGACATCAGTAGCCAAGGCAACCTGATGTATGCTATCGTGGGTGGAAACGACGACCAGACGTTTCGTATGGATGCTCAGACAGGTTTGGTCACTCTGACAGGTCGGAATGGTGGCCATTACTATCACGCCTACACGGTCAATGTATCTGTGTCTGACGGCGTCTTCACCAGTTTTACACGTGTCGGTATCACAATCCAGGATGGAAACAACCACACACCCGTATTCCAGGAGTATCCCTACCACGCTTCAGTTGACGAAAATCTCGGGCCAGGCATCCTCGTCACTGTGGTGTCCGCCAACGATGGTGACCACGGCAACAATGGCCTCCTCACATACACCATCACCAGTGATCACATGATGAAGTTCTTCAGTATTGATGTGGACACTGGTAAGGCAGGCGTATAGGGGGAATCAGATGGACATTATTGTTGTATATAGTAATATAATTATATACCAATGTTTTGTTTCTGTACTATAAAACATTGTTTTGTTTGCCACCTACATGTAGCATATCACCAACATTTTACAGTCATCTTTTTCTTTTGTCTAAACATAAACAGTTCCTTAACATATATCTCTCAATATAGCTGGGAGGCTTTTTTAGGTCACCTGAGCTTTAGCTCAAGTGACCTATTGCTATCCATCTTCGTCCGGCGTCCGTTAACATTTTACATTTTCAACTAAAGCTGAAATACTGGCAAAGGAATTTCATTAATATTTCATGGGAAGGTTACTGACATCTCCCTGACCAAGAGTTGTTATTTTTCGGGTCGATCAGAAATCCAATATGGCCGCCATTTTGAAAAACTATTTCAAACTTAAAGTCAAGTTCTAATGGGCCGATTGAACTGAAACTTTGTAGGAATGATCGACTCATGGTCCTGACAAAATGTCTTTATTTTTCGGGTCGATCAGAAATTCAATATGGCCGCCACGGCCGCCATTTCGAAAAAAGTATTTCAAACTTAAAAACAAGTTCTAATAGGCCGATTGAACTGAAACTCGGTCTAGGAATGATCAGCTCATGGACCTGACAAACTTAAGTTAACGTTATACTTAACTATTTTGTACTCAAATTGGTACATATTTCAACAACAAAAATAAATACTGTAGGACTCAGGTGACCATTTAGGCCCATGGGCCTCTTGTATTAATTCAGATGTCACATTTTGAAAATAAATTCCTGTTTTACAAAAAAACAAAATATGGTTTCCAAGCACTTTTTTTTTTTTTTTTAATAAAATTCAGATATTTACTTTCTGGTCTAAAAGCCAATACTGAAAGAGTTTTTTAAAATTGATCTATTGAAAACTCTATATACATTGGCTTGTTCAAAGACGACAATTGTGATTTATTTAACATGTTATTTGTTTGGATTTCAGGAGAAATATTTACAGAACACATGTTTGATAGAGAAGTGGAGGATACCTACCTTGTCCCAGTGTCGGCCATTGACAATGGTGGGAGAATGGGCTTCACTATGGTGGAGATTTCTATCACCGATAAAAACGATAATATCCCAGCATTCACCACCCAGAACTATCGTGCTGTAGAGGCATTTGATGCAGCCATCAACACCACCATTATACAGGTATGTTTTTTCATTTATTCCATCAATGTTCTGTAGGCCATCATGCTCTTGGTTGAAACGACCATGTGTTTGTGTTTATATATACTTGTTATACTTATCAAGTTATTCATTTGTGTATAAATCATAGTATACATATTTTGTTGCCTAGGTAACTGCTCGTGACCGTGACCTTGGGGATAACGGCCGTATAATTTACCAACTCTATGATGACAATGTGACCCCTTATGTGTTTGTTGACCCTAACACTGGTGATGTCAAGGTCAAGGCTGACCTGACACCGAAAAGTAAGTTACCATAGCAACATATCACAGTAATTACTGTAGGTTACCATGAAAACAAACCACAATAAACAAAATAAGTTACGAATGTTAAATATCTTATCATAAGTTACCATGGCAAAATGTTATAGCAAAGGTTAAAGCATAGAATAGAGGTATATTATATAGGATAGACTTTCTTTACATATGTGATGCTAACATTCATGATTTTCAATCATTGTAGTGAATTCCTTGATGCAGTTCTTCATCAGTGCTGTCGACTTTGGCGAGATCCCATTAGAGAACAATGTTCCTGTGGAGATCTATGTGATGGGGCCGAATGAGGTGGCGCCCCGCTTCCCACAGTCTAAGTACATTTTTGTGACACCAGAGAACACCGATAAGTTCAACTTCATCCGGACAATCACGGCCGAGAGTCAGCAGCCAGTCCACTACAAGGTCGTACCCGGTAGTAACCCAGAGACGAACCACCCACAACTCTTCACCGTGGATGACTCTGGCAATATACACCTCAATGGAGACCTTGACGCGGAGGAAGTGTCACAGTACACATTGACTCTTTTGGCTTACACAGAGGCTTCACCATCCCTGGTCAACACAACTGAGGTTTACTTCCAGATCACCGGCATCAACGACAATGCCCCACAGTTTGAGTCTAACCCCTACACCGCAAGTCTTGTAGAAAACTCCAAACCAGGAATCAGAATCATACAGGTCAGGGCATTTGACCTTGACAAGCCGCAGACATTGACCTATAGATTCAGTGCTGGTATGGAGGAGGCTGCTCAGATGTTTAATATTGACAAGAACACTGGCTGGATAACACTGTTATCGTCTGTTGACCGTGAAATGAAGAGTGACTATAACCTCTCTGTCATGGTGGAGGATACCGAGGGGTCGGTTACTAGGACTAGTGTGACCTCTGTCCTGATAGACATCAAGGACTATAACGACAATCCGCCGGTATTCCCGAGCCGCCACTACAACGCGGCTGTCAACGAGCTGGCAGAACCCGGAACGGTCGTGTTGGCACTACATGTATCCGATGCAGACAGCGCACAGAACACACACATCAGTTACTTCATTATCGATGGGGACCCACATGGTCGCTTCCAGGTGTATCACACAGGCGAGGTCTGCGTCAGTCGGCCACTTGATCGTGAACAGATTAACATATACAACCTCCAGATTGCTGCAACTGACGGTGGCCTCAGTTCCATGACAACTGTTACTGTGGATATCCTTGACGACAATGACAACAGTCCAGTGTGTGGACAGGTAAGTTTTGAGTATTCCTCAAACTGTTTCTACAAAATATATGTTTATCCAACTAGTTAAATAACAAATCTAAAATGCAAAAACAATTTTGTATTTGGGTCTAGAATTCTGCAGACAATACAAAGTTGAAACAGTCTACAAATGTTGCTTAAGAAAGGTAAATTAACTTACTGCTCATATTATTTTGCCAGAAGGTAGAATATTGTGTAAAAAAGACTGATATTCTGTTCATTCTTGAATTTCCTTGATACACAGCCATACCATGAGGTTGTGTTGTCAGAAGATGTCCTGCCATCCGACATCATCATCCGAGTCCATGCCACAGACGCAGACAACCCCTCTACCATCAATGCCAAAGTCCGCTACATTCTTTCTCGGGAGCAGGACAGAGAAAAGTTCACTGTGGACGAGGCTACAGGTAAAAGGCTCATTTTGATATACAGAAGAAACATTTGCATTCATGGTATCAGCCTCATTCTCATATACAATGGGAACTTGTTAAGTTTTACCAGAACCAGCCATTTGGGTCCTTCATTCGTAGCATAGAGAAGTTGGATAATGCCACAGATCAGCATCAGTTATAATGTATTGATGTAATGGTTTGTTTCAGGTATCCTAACCATCAGGGACAGCCTTGACCGCGAGGACGTATCCAAGTATGCTGTGGTGGTCAGTGCTGTGGATGGAGGTCAGAGGTCATGCGACACGCAGGTCTTCATACAGCTCAGCGATGTCAATGACAACCGTCCTGAATTTGTTGATGCACCGACAGATTTCTTGTTGTCCGAGTCGGCAGAAGTCAACACATTGCTGATAAGAGTGACAGCTCAGGATGCTGACTTGGGTACGTTTTAGTCTATATATATTACACTATTTGTATTACTAACTATGGCCTTGATTAAGCATACTTCACATTTCTGTAATAATGGACAGTTCATGACACCAACATTTTTTTCTTAGCTGTCTCTTTGTTCAATGTTTACACCTGCCAGATTTTTTTTCGGAAGTTTGTTTAATTAATCTGTTATCCATTCTGTGCACAGGAATAAACCGCCAGGTGAGGTACCGCCTGACAGACGATGGCAACGGTACATTCGCTGTGGACACTGAGACAGGAATACTCATGTTAAAGAAACCAGTGGACCGAGAGACAGTGCCGTCCTACCGACTTGTCCTACAGGCCAGTGACCAGGGAACACCAAGTCTATCCTCCGAAACCGTCCTCCGTGTCCTTCTACGGGATGAGAATGATAATCCACCAGAGTTTGTCCGCAACAGTTACAGTGAGACTTTGGCAGAAAATGTTAAGGTCGGAACAATGGTCACACAGGTAGAGGCTACCAGTAAGGACATTGGGCAAAATGCAGTCATGATGTATTCCATCGTCGGCGGCAACAAGCAGGGGAAATTTTCTCTCCATCCAGACACGGGTACAATTTATGTCCTGGGAGAACTAGACTATGAGGCTACTCATCATTATATCCTTACGATCATCGCACGTGACCGTGGCATAGTGCCACTCAGTAGCTCTGCCTATGTCACCATCAATGTGATTGATGTCAACGACAACACACCTGTCTTCACTCAAGCCAGCTACAGTGTGCGGGTCAATGAGTCGGAAAAAGTTGCTTCCATCGTTGTCAAGGTAACTAGAAACACTTCCCAATCTTTTACTTTATGAACAGAAATGTGTTTATTATTGAACCAGTTTTTAGCAGAAAAATATAATCTTTAGAAAACATTATGAAACATGTTCCAATCATGAAGAATTTGTTCATTACCGTAGCTAGTGTAAGATTTTATAGTACATTTGTTTTTATTTTCCAATTTTTAATTGTCCGTATCTTATAAAACTAGGTGAGTGCCAGTGATGCAGACAGTCCTCCAAACTCTGTGCTGACCTACTCCATATCAGATGGCGACCGTCTTGACAATTTCAAAATCAACCCGAAGGATGGTACAATAAGAATAAAGACTCCACTGGACAGAGAATCGGTAAGTAGAAGGGTGGAACAGTAATACAGGTAGGGTGGAACAGTAATACAGGTAGGGTGGAACAGTAATACAGGAAGAGTGGAACAGTAATACAGGAAGGGTGGAACAGTAATACAAGTAGGGTGGAACAGTAATACAGGAAGGGTGGAACAGTAACACAGGAAGGGTGGAACAGTTATACAGGTAGGGTGGAACAGTAATACAGGAAGGGTGGAACAGTAATACAGGAAGGGTGGAACAGTAATACAGGAAGGGTGGAGCAATAATGCAGGTAGGGTGGAACAGTAATACAGGAAGGGTGGAACAGTAATGCAGGTAGGGTGGAACAGTAATACAGGAAGGGTGGAACAGTAATACAGGTAGGGTGGAACAGTAATACAGGAAGGGTGGAACAGTAATACAGGTAGGGTGGAACAGTAATACAGGAAGGGTGGAGCAGTAATACAGAAAGGGCTTGTTTCCTGAAATATGTCTCATCTGTTGTGAAAAGTTTGGGGTGGGCTTATATAACTAGTAAAATATCATTAAAATGAAATATTTTGATGAAATCAGTACCAGTCAATTAACAGTGACAATTTTTGGAAAGATAAATATTTTTCAATGATATCCATTTCCTTTATTATATGTGTGGGACTTTAAAAATAATGTTTTAAATACATTACTGATATGTATATGAAATAAAACTGAACTCTAAAACAATATTTTAACACCCAACAAGGGTCAACTCTATTACTCTAACTAAAGTTCAGTTCAATAATTTGGTAAAATGGTTGTTACAGCTGTCCCGTATAGTCCTGATGGTCAAGACTACGGATGGCGGTCAGCCCAGCAAGACCGCTGAGGCCTCTGTTCAGGTGGACATTATCGATGCCAACGACTGTGCCCCGCGCTTCTCTGAAGACAACTACACCGCAGTTGTGCAGGTAAACAATTGTTAATAATCTTCACAGAAAAATCAAATTGATCAAGATTGCACCTAATGTATTTGAAAATGAAATATGGCGTTGACATGACATTAACTTTGATTCGGCATGCCCTCAAGGCACTTAATTTCAGGGTTATGCATCTTCTCTATTTTATCATTATAATTGATCGATATGCAGAAAATAAAATGTCCAGAAAAAAAGATGTTTCTCTTTGAATGATTTATAATAACATCAGTTTCAGAAAGACAAATTAAAAGTAATTTTTAATGGGACAATTGTATGGCATCCGATATCAAATATGGAAATAAATTTTCTCAACTATTGAAATCTAATTAATATCTTGGATTTTAAGAAGGAGTTAATTACAATTTGAAACATTTTGGCAGGCTGCCTCACAGCTTTGTTATTTCTAGAAAGGCATATTTCACGAATTTTTCTACAGCTTCAAATCAAGCAGCGCATTTTACCCACACATAGCTTGATGACCAAGTTTTTCTTCAAATCGGTGAACAAGTTATTTCTTCTTTTTTTTTTAAGCAATTCAGCTTTTTGATTATAGCAAAATAAAGACGAAACTAATCATGAGAAAATGTCCTCACATTTAGCAGGAAAGTTGCATGAAAATATTAAGAGAAGAAGAAAATGTTTTTTACTCTTGGTAGAATTCTTTTCTTTGTGTAACAAAAAATCTCTATTGGTGAAAATCATTGGGGTAGTTCTGGAGAAGGTATTTTTTTTCCTCAAAAAAATTCTAGATTGAATTACAATTAAGATTGCTGCATTACATGATTTGTGATATTCGTTAATGTTTTAATCCCTTGCTTTTCGAAGAAAACAGGGGACACTGATTAACATTTAGAAATTTATTTAAATGTCAACTTTCAATATTAGCAGTTAGATTTTTATGTCAAATTGTTGTAAATGTCAAACTGTCAACTTGCGATAAAGGACAGACACAGTGTCATATCCTGCAACGATTTCAATGACATTATCATTGAGGTATTTTAAAGAAATTAATGTATTTGTTGATTCAACAACACAGCGCCCTCCACAAGGCCTCGTAAGTCACTCAAGCATCGTGATTTAGTTATCAGATTATTCAGTTGACTTTTAATTTCGTTATTCAAGAAAACTTGCAATTTGTAAAACTTTGTATCACAGCATGTATTCAGTTGCCTGTTATGTTACAACGACAAGGCATGTCCTACGTTGGAGCGCTTATGTCAACATTTCCTTATTTTTTGCATTTTTGAAACAATTTTTCTAGTTATGAAGTCACTTCATTGTGGTCGGAAATTACTAGCAGACATTTCTTAAACTTCGTTGTATTTTTCACAATGAGATACAATGACTTCACAATACTCTATCATTAAAGTGAGAATTTTCATGTGTAGCAGTTTTCACATATTGACTTTTGCATTGTGTCAGTTATTGTGAAATTACCATGAATTTCTGCAATGAAAATTTTCACTTTTAAAGTCTAGTACTGTGTTCAAAATCTCAACCATACCTTTGACTTTGATGTTTAAAGTTTTGTTTTCCCTAGATTCTAACAGGAAATGTTAATTTTCCTCATAATTCTTTGGAATTCGAGACAAATGTATAGTACATATTCATATCTGCCATTTGCTTCAAATACAAGGGGGAAACCCTAGAAAAGTTGCTTTATTAATCTTAACCCATTCGCCCCTACAGACACACTTAAATCTTACCAAATCAAGGACTGTGCAAGTCCATTTTGAATATATAAGGGTGAATGAGTTAATTATTTTAATGTTTTTAAAGCCTGTACAGTGTATGAAATATGCATTTATATAGACAGACCAGGAATATAGCGATATTTATTAAGAGAATTATCATTACCAGAGCAAAAACTGTTCTATATGGCATCGTTATGGTTTTGTCCTCAGTTTAATTGCTTGCTTGTTTTCGTCTTGTTCTATCTCGACACATGTCTGTTTGTCTCAAGTTGTTAACCGTCTAGTATTTTACTGTCCTGTGTCGTGTCCTCTACTTTGTTATTCTGTAAATGTTTTATATTCTTATGCACCATGATGTAAAACTTCAATGTTTTTATTATAATCAGCATTTGTTTACCAGTCTCTAACAATGTAAAAGTTCTGTATGCATTTTTTATTGTGCTTGATGAGAAAGTATATATATGATCAGTATTCAGTCAATTATAATTACATAAGAGTATTTGAGAGAGAAAAAAAATGAGAAAAGTCTGTCACAAACTTCAATTATGGAAATTGCAGGTGAAAATTCATTTTCAATTCATAAGGTTTTATCAGCCAAACAATTTATCAGAATGAACTCAAAAAGCAGGTCTTACTGTTTATAGTCAGTTTGTTTGGACAAAGAGAAACCAGTGCAAATTTAAATTAAACTCTAGATTTAAGCATACAAGAATGAAAAGATTTTCAATTTTTGTTTATTGTAGATTTTATGATTAATTGCAATAAAATTTATTTCTAATAATGTTTCTGTCAAAAATGATCCGACACACTCTATTTCTGGAATGGACTATATATCCCGTTGTCCGATTAATGAATATTGATTATTTTGAATGATGAGGTGGGGAAAGTTTAATGCATTTTGGTTAATTAGTATCTGGTAGTATTCATTTTGATCTAAAAGCATGCTTGTTATCAAAGTTGATAGGGCATTGAAGCCTGCTCTCAGGTGAGATATGTGATCAAATTTTACATAGAAGACAAAACTGGCAAAAAGGGAAAATAGAGAACTCTTCACAAATTGGACAAAAAAAAAGGTTTTCCAGGTGTCTACATTTAGTATGAAATAAAAACTGAACTTTTCTTGTCGTACCAAATTATCTATTTACAGGGGGGACTGGATTATATTGTATATGGATAACTATATTTATTTTGCTAAGATTTTCGTATTTGATTCGTAAAGACAATAGATAATTTTTGATACTACAGGATATATTCTGTTATAACATGAAGTTGTTAATAAATAGGACAAATTTTAGGTGATTGAATGCTATATGTATTTCCCAGCATGATTACCTGTGCTGCAGTTTATAACAACAAACCAAGTCTTATCTGTGTATAATGTCGGAGAGCTATGTCCTCAGGGAGAGTAGTACTTACTGTTTTATTTTTTGAGCATTTTGAGCATTTTACCTCAAAATTTTGATATTTATCTGTCGCTGTGACACTTAAGTAAATAAGATAGTTTACATTATAATGATACTTATCAATATTTAGATTGGGTGAAATGTAATATGTTGTATATTTACAGTTTATTGATAACTCCCTGAATCAATTACTGATGTTAAACATATATATTACTAATGCTATACTGTGTTATACAGGAGGATATCCATATTGGATACGACATCATCGGCTTCCAGGTGACCGACGATGACCTTCATCCAAACGGAGAACCCTTCACTTATGACATCATCAATGGCAATGAGGGCGGAGAGTTCCGTGTGGATTCGCAGGGAGTTCTAACAACAGCAAGCAAGTTTAACCACAACATCAAGAACCTGTACCAGCTTGTCCTGCGAGTATTCGACAATGGGTTTCCATCACTTTACACCGATGTGCCTGTTACCATAACAATTACGGAGAAAGGCAGCAACCCGCCGAAGGTGGCTAACCTGGAGGTCACCATCAACTCCTACCTGGACGAGTTTCCCGGAGGTTTGATTGGTCGACTGGAGGCCACAGACATGGACAGATTTGACATTCTCACTTACCAAGTTGTCTCGCAGAACCGCCACCTCTTTGACATTGACAAGGACGATGGCAGACTGGTGGCTTACGAAGGACTTGATGCTGGTGATTACCTTGTAAACATCAGTGTTACAGACGGACACTACATTAGTTACGGCCGAGTGTACGTGGACGTTGTGGCCATCACAGAAAAGATGTTGAACAATGCAGTGACCATCCAGCTTCAGAACCTCACGCCACGAGACTTCATACAGCACTACCAGAATGACTTTCGCAAGGCTGTCAGAAGGAGGCTTGGTATCAAGAAACGTGATGTCCAGATCATCAATGTCCAGCCCAGCCAGGCCTTGGATGGCCAGGCCCGTAGGAAGCGAGACACAAGTTCTGATCTTGATGTTCTATTTGCAGCCAAGAGAGGTCCCAATAACTACTTCTCCAGCAAGTTATTGAGGAAGAAGATCATGCAGATGACTAACGATATTGAACAGGCGCTCGGGGTCACCGTCATTGACGTGTTCAACGATATCTGTCACGGCGATCTTTGTCCAGACGGCAAGTGTGTGGGAGAACTTGTGTTCGACAAGAAGAGTCAGACGCCCATTGTCATGGATGTGGGGACGTTTGTGACGGCACGCCATTCCTACACATACAAATGTGTCTGTACTGAGCAGTCTAGAGGTGAGTAGACTTAAGGGAATACGCTACCTTTCACTCATCACACATCTGTCAAAAGATTTCCACACCATCAAAATGGTAAATTGTCATTTATAGAAGATTTTATTGATTTGGTGTTTTTAATCTCAGAATGTTTGAAAAGTAAAAAAGAAAACAGCTAATGATCAAAATCAGGTTTTTATGAATAACGGTTAGTTTAAGGGAGATAACGGACATATATGACCAGGACTTCTGTATGAAGTAGCGTACACCCTAAATTGCTACATGCTGCAATTATACTGTATCATAAATATGATATTTACCCCTATTTTGCCCCATTCATCACTCAATAACCTGTGTGGGCCCCATTTGAGTGGGGATACTGTGAAACATTTATCAATACTACTATAAACGTCTGAAGCTCAAGTAAATAACTCTTGTTGTCTGCAGGTCCTACGTGTGAGAATCCGAGGGTCGGAAGCCAGTGCCTCCCTGGTCAGCCTTGTATCACAGAGTCATCGGAGCCAGAAATCTGTACCGACTTCTCATGCTACTCCGGTAAATTGAACTTCATATAGACCTCTACATACCCGGGTTTATTTCTCATCACACACATTTTTAATTTCATCACTACTTTTTAAAATTTTCTTTAATTTCAAGAAAAGGCAATTTTTTACTGATGATAATGGTCCTGTTTCTTTTTAATCCATCACAGAATATTTTTTTAAGATTTTAATGACATTTGTGGCTTTTGTTACATTTTATCTAAAACTCTGCTTCAGGAAACAAGCCAATGACATTTATGGGCCAGAGTTACGCCAAGTGGACGTTACAGGACGCCTTCAGTATAGAGCAGCGACTGAGTCTATCCCTGAGAATCAAGACCCGACGATCCATGGCCAGCATCATGTTCGCTAAGGGCAATGTTGACTACAGTATACTAGAGGTAAAAAGAACAGGGCATTGAGTGAATAGTTTTTACAAGGTGAACAACATGAAAATAATACCAAATTTTCAGGAACATCCATAACTGTTTCAGGAAGTAATTTTACGATAAAGGTACATTTGAACAAAACAAAAACAAAAATTGATAAATGTCTATGTGTCTACAACAGAGATGGACCTGAATAGGGTTCTGACACAGAGATGGACCTGCATAGGGTTCTGACACAGGGATGGACCTGCATAGGGTTCTGACACAGGGATGGACCTGATTAGGGTTCTGACACAGAGATGCACCTAAATAGGGTTCTGACACAGAGGTGGACCTAAATAGGGTTCTGATACAGAGATGGACCTGAATATAGGGTTCTGACACAGAGATAGACCTGAATAGGTTTCTGACACAGAGATGGACCTCAATAGGGTTCTGACACAGAGATGGGCCTGAATAGGGTTCTGACACATAGATGGACCTGAATAGGGGTCTGACCCAGAGATGGACCTAAATAGGGCTCTGACACAGAGATGGACCTGGACCTGAATAGGGCTCTGACCCAGGGATGGACCTGAATAGGGTTCTGGCACAGCGATGGACCTAAATAGGGTTCTGATACAGAGATGGACCTAAATAGGGTTCCGCCACAGGGATGGACCTGAATAGGGTTCTAACACAGAGATGGACCTGAATACGGTTCTGACACAGAGATGTACCTGAATAGGGTTCTGACACTGGGATGGACCTGAATAGGGTTCGGACACAGAGATGGACCTAAATAGTGTTCTGATACAGAGATGGACCTAAATAGGGTTCCGCCACAGGGATGGACCTGAATAGGGTGCTGACACAGAGATGGACCTGAGTAGGGTTCTGGCACAGAGATGGACCTAAATAGGTTTCTGACACAGAGATGGACCTCAATAGGGTTCTGACACAGAGATTGACCTGAATAGGGTTCTGACAAAGAGATGGACCTGAATAGGGTTCGGACACAGAGATGGACCTAAATAGGGGTCTGACACAGAGATGGACCTAAATGGGGTTCTGACACAGAGATGGAACTAAATAGGGTTCTGACACAGGGATGGACCTGAATGGGGTTCTGACACAGAGATGGAACTAAATAGGGTTCTGACACAGGGACGGACCTGAATAGGGGTCTGACCCAGAGATGGACCTAAATAGGGCTCTGACACAGAGATGGACCTGAGTAGGGTTCTGGCACAGAGATGGACCTAAATAGTGTTCTGATACAGAGATGGACCTAAATAGGGGTCTGACACAGAGATGGACCTGCATAGGGTTCTGACACAGGGATGGACCTGCATAGGGTTCTGACACAGGGATGGACCTGAATAGGGTGCTGACACAGAGATGGACCTGAGTAGGGTTCTGGCACAGAGATGGACCTAAATAGGTTTCTGACACAGAGATGGACCTCAATAGGGTTCTGACACAGAGAGGGACCTGAATAGGGTTCTGACCCAGAGATGGACCTGAATAGGGTCCTGACACAGAGATGGACCTAACCAAGGTTATGACACAGAGATGGACCTGAAGAGGGTTCTGACACAGAGATGGTCCTGAATAGGGTTCTGACACAGGGATGGACCTAAATAGGGTTCTGATACAGAGATGGACCTAAATAGGGCTCTGACACAGAGATGGACCTGCATAGGGTTCTGACACAGGGATGGACCTGAATGGGGTTCTGACACAGAGATGGAACTGAATAGGGTTCTGACACAGAGATGGACCTAAATAGGGTTCTGACACAACAACACCCTGTATAATTTGTTGACTGCCACAACTGTTTAAGAATGACTATACTGAGGATTACAACCCAGCAGATCAACCTTTGGATTACAATGTGTAGCAGTAGATAATACTCGAAAGTGTTTTCCTCATTCCAGATATTTGATGGTATGGTTCAGTACCAGTTTGACTGTGGCAGTGGTCGTGGCCTTGTTCAAATTCCTGTCCACATCAACGACGGTAAGTGGCACACCATCAATCTCGAGAGACGGGGCCGCATGGCCGAAGTGTCACTGGACGGTGAGTTCTCCAACATGGACATCGCCCCAGGTGTCAACGACTACATCAACCTCAACACCAAGGACATTTATTTTGGTGCGGAAGTCGTCGCCCAGGGTTACCACCACACAGTCCAGCGTGGTTTTGAGGGATGCATGGAGGATGTGAAGCTGTGGAGTGTTCGACTTCCGTTTGAGGGTAGCAATGCCGTCGTCTCCAGCCAAGAGTTCAAACAAGTACAATTCCACTGTAAAGACAGCTCCACCGGCATCGAGGGTACAAGTAAGTCACCAGATTGGTTATACAAAATCTCAAGGTTGATGATGTTATCGGGAAGACTATTGTTGTATTTTGGTTAACTTGTTTAAATGCCTGATTTTAACTGCCATGTTTGTAACAATTCACCCTTTCCCCTCTGTAAACCATAATGGACTCATCCATACCAATGCATGGTAGGGTCTACTAAAGTTACATATGGGTGAAAGGGTTAAGTTGTGGTTATTTCCAACATGTTTAACTGACATACCCTAGTGCATTCTCACTAGGATATACATTAACCATTATTGAACTTTGACATTTCTTCGTAAGTCTTTTTAAAAATTCTGTTCACCTGGAGAATTTACATTTGTTTCCACTTCTAGATTTGAATTTGAGTTCTTTCAGTACTGCTTCTATCATAAAGCTTTAAAAACTGTCTGTGGTCACAGTTTGCCATATTGTGGCATCAATAAAACCATTCAACTCATTCACCCCTGAAGACACATTTCAACTCTTCCAATTCAATGGTTGGAATTGTCCATTATGAAATTTCAGGGATGAATGAGTTAAATAACTCCTGTGGTTCACACTAAAAAGAATGTCATGTACAGAAAGAGTTATGTTTCTGATATTGTTTATACCTGAAGCTGTCCCACTACAAATACTGGATGTAACACTCCCCACATGGCTATTTTACAGATATCTGTAGCACCTTCCCCTGTATGAACGGTGGTACGTGTCAGAACTCTGGCATAAACTCCTACATCTGTGTCTGTCCTGACCGATTCTACGGGGCCAAGTGTGAGATTGATTCAGACCCGTGTGCCAACTCGCCATGTCGTAATAATGGTAAGGTTGCAAAGCTTTTGACGGCTCCTGATGATTTATGTTATGGTTATTTCTTTCAGTTTCACAGGAATTGTGTTGTTAAAATCAGTAAAAGACAATTCAAGATAAATCCAGATTAATAAAAAAATATTTTTTAAAATTTCAGTTTTTGGACTTTTTCTGATCAACACGAAGAACTCTTACACTTATGACATCCCGTGGGTTAGCTTGTAACCCATTGGAATAGAATTTTAAAGTGTGACAAAACATAATGGGATTGCTTCAATATATCATACATAATTAAAAGAAATCTATGCTTAACAGTACCAAATTCAGCAAGAACCCAAATTTGTTCGTTTATGGTCGTGTTTATATTCACTTTACAACTGAATGTTGCATTAAATTTCTCAATGAAAATAGTTTTTTTTTTATTTCCTTATTTTGAAAAATTATTTCATAACCTAGCCTTTTGGTAGATCATGATATTTACATATTTCTCTTTTTTCGAAGATTTGTTGTCTCCCCATCCATAGACTTTCATGTGTGGTTGGTCAATATTTCCTAAGACTCCCAATTTAATTGTTGCAGCCAAGTGTCAGAATGTCAAGGACATGCCCAATGAGTTTGAGTGCTCGTGTCCCGGGGAGCTGAAGGGCAAGCTGTGTGAATATGGTCAGCACTGTATCCCAAACCCCTGTCAACATGGAGGCACGTGTGTGGAAGGTCCCAACCGGGCCATCTGTATCTGTCAGACAGGGTTTGAAGGTAAGTTCTCTCTCCTCTGGACCCTCACTCCCATGGTCTATTTCATAAGGATATGGTTTGATGCATGTTACCATAATTACACCAATTTTAGGCTATCTGTATTTGTTAAAAGGGGTCTAAGGCAAGGATCTCACCATTTCCCCTACCCCAAAGGTATCTATCTATCAGTCAGGTTGGGTTGAAGATGAGATTTCTCTTTCAATGCTTTGTCCTACCATTTGTATGTGTTGGAGATGATTTGAAGATTAATTTCTCCTTGCCACCTTCATATCCATACTCTAAACTAATCCACATCGAAGTGATATACCAAGAAAGATTTACTGTTGGAATTTCTGAAATAACTTCAAAAAAAAAGAATGATTTCCTGATTCTGTATGTAGGTCCACTATGTACAATAAGGGTGAATCCGTGCCGCAACAATCCGTGTCTCCATGGTGGCATGTGCCACAGCATCGAGGCCACCTACATCTGTAACTGTACCAGCTCCAGGAACGGTGAACACTGTCAAAACATTGTCATACCGACCATTACCTCAAATACTACAGGCATCACGCAGGAAACTCTGTTTGGTATTGTTGGTAAGTTCTTTCACCAGGAATTCTTTCATTTGGCAATCTTGATAGTTCAGTAAAATAATAATGCTGTCTGAAGATTTTTCTAAAACAGGAGGCTTGCAGCTTAAAGTTCACCATTGGACCTTTGAAATTCTCAATATTGAAACCAGATCACTCTATGAATTAAATTATATGAAAGTTAAGATGAACAAATTTTTAAAATGATGCTTTTCTCTCCAGGTGTGGCTATAGCATTGATCCTGCTAGCCTTCCTTTTCGTCATGATCCAGTGTTACCGACGTAGGAACAACCGTCGCCGTGGTCACAATAACCGTCACAACAGCGAGGAAAGAGACATGATGCTGCGAGGGACGAAAGACGATAAGAAATGCAAAGTTAGCTCCTTTGACCTACCATCCCTACACATGCAGAACATCCCACCAAGCCCGCGCCCACCTCCCGTCCCTAACAGGCCTGTGTCCTACACGCCCAGTAACCATGCCGACTCCCTGAACACTCTCAACAATTTTGACACTGTCAGGAATTACGGAAGTGCAGCCGACGACCTAGAAAACTGTAACACAAACATCCCGTACCGTGACCACTACTTCCAGACGTTTGCTCCCCCTCCTCCCAGGAGTACAGCCAGCATGGCTCCGTCTCTTCCTCCCCCACCCCCTTCCAACCCAGCCTCTGACACAGACTCCATACAGAAGTTGCCTTGGGAAAACGAATTCCCGAACATGCTGGAAAACCATGAAGGTGAGTATGAGCGACAAACAGGGGTTGATGTTATTTTATCATTTACTGTAATCTGCAATGTTTTCACAGTTGTCTTTTCAAACAAATGTGCACAGTGGTGAAATTCACTTTAACATTGTTTTAAAACTGGCTAACTACATACACGATGTTAAAACTGGCTAACTACATACACGATGTTAAAACTGGCTAACTTTATACACGATGTTACTTTTTGGCTCACATTTTGGATTTGACCTCTCATTCAAAGGCAAAAAAGGGGCAAAAATAAAATCAGAAAATATATTTCCACTTTACAGTTGCTATTGAATTTAAAAATATTTCAACTTTCAGAAAAGAAACATCCAGAGAAGTTTAGTGGAATTCCACGATATGTTCATCCTATGGGACCTGATGCAACGTCATTCAGTAGTTTACCTGTCTCAGAGTCGGAAGACGAACCAGGTACATACATAGCTCATTTAAATCTACATAATTAATTAATGGGAGATATTTCCCTAGTAACCATATTGACAGGGTTTCCCTCGGTAACTGCTTGAACAGGGATATTTTCCTCGGTAACCACTTTAACAGGGATATTTTCCTCGGTAACCGCTTTAATTCCTGCTGGTTTGGTTTTTAATAAGGAAGGATATTTCATTTTTCCATTCTTGAAAGTTTAAACATATTTAACATTCTATTTTTCATGTAGTAACTATGTTTCTGTATAAACCACCCAGTATATATTTACTGGTAGTAAACCCTTTACATTTGAGTAGTTAGGTTATGGTGACGGTGGTATGATGTTAATTACACTCATTTCGTTTTGTCTAGTTGGACACGCGTTTCGACTATTGCTGAATGAATATTTGACAGAATTACACACTTTATAACTCTCTTTATCATTCTTGCATAACCATTTCAAACAAATATAATTTCAACATTTTAAAAGGTTCTCTGCTGAAGACTAGTAAAATTGTATGTACATTGTATGTGAAGTTTAATAACTACCAACATTTAGACGATCAAATTTTCATTTTCAAGATAATTTTCTAGCCATTGTACAAAGAGAAACAAATTCTATCTAAATGTCTGTGGAGTTTTCCTGCAGTAAAATCATGCAAGTTTAGTTTGTGAAGTTTTGTTGAGTATTCATCGATCGCCAAAAAGCGAGTCCGCTAGACAAATGAAAGGTAACTTAGTGTGTTCAGTGTAGTGAGAACAGTACTAGTGAGTAGGATACTGTATACTGCTAGTCTGGAAATAAAAAAATAAAAATATATTTCAATGATACTTATCACCAAATATATGGTCCAAGTTCATATTTCTGCCCATTATCATATCATCTTCACAATAAACAAAAATATATACAAATCTGTCTTAAAAAATCAAGGACATGCAACTCGACAAGTAAGTTAGAGCAGATATTTTTTGTGAGTTTGTTTAAAGAAAGTTTTACATTAGAATGGAGAAAAACTTGCGCATAATGTGTTGATTTCAGATGAAGCAAAGTGATATTTTTTCAATTATTTTTTCTGTGTGTGTGTGTTGTGCATATGACACTTGCTTTGAGTGCTGCGCTGCGGAAGTGGTCAAGAGATTTCTTCAGAAACCTTCTTCGTGTGTGCTTTAAAACTGAATTTGACTCATCAAGATCAAAATATTACGACATATTTTGTCATACAAGCTTCATCATAATCTCCATCTTCATCATTTTATCATAATAGTCAAAACTACATATTCATTTTCATTGCAAAATCTCCTGTTAGGCTTGTAGGATGACACTTTAATCAGACTTTGAACGGCTCAGAAAAACAAAATTTTAAAGTATGCTTAGGTTTCATATACTTCTTTCCACTTTTTATCTGTCTTTAAAACAATCTTATTTATATTTACAAAACAGCATTTTTTACTCAAAAACTATCTGAATTTCATCAAAGAGTTATGCTTTGAATTTCTGAGTAAATTTCTGAACCGAAAATTACTGAAGCATTAATTGTGCTATACTACAAACAGCAAACATGTTTGTTTCGAAATAGAATGTTGTCTTTCTTCATTTTGCTTTCATTATTTGGAATGGTTTAGGTGGAATATAATCCAGGATGTCTGCATGGGACATTGTGGCATCAGTGTTGTTCACGACCCACAAATCGTGGGTATAAAATACATCCCAGTTCATAGGGAATATCACTCATTACCGTATTTGTTGTAATACTGTAAATATGGTGCGGTTCATTCATTATCGTAAAATCATGCTGCTCATTACCTGTGCCCAGGTTTGCTAATCATGACTCTCTTTTTGCACAGCAGCTAGGAGGAAGAAGAACAAAGGTAGACATTATATCTGCTACAACGTCAGTCAGTTAAACCGCATGGCCATCATTATTATCATTATAATTGATGTATTCCTTATACATATATTAATTAGATGTATCTTCCATTATCATTATAATCAGATTACCATTAATTACCTTCTAAGTTTAATTAATTCTGTCTATTGGCCTCCACTAGAAAGCAGTTAAGGCTCATTGAATTGCTTAGCCAGTTGCCTTTCAAGAAATTTTACATAGAGCAACATTTTTATCAGGCATAATCTATACCTGCTTAGTTTTATATACCTTCAGTATTTTTGCATACTTTTATCATTTTCAATTGCCCCAAAATACGAATTCCTATAGAACTTGATCCTCACTTAACTTATACACATAACATTATAATCTGCTAAATTAATTTTTGCAACAATGCTTGAAAATATCAACAATACCACACATTGAGTAATTCTCTGGAGTTCTTTGGAAATTGTTTTTTAGAAATGGCGAATACATATTAAATATAAATAAAATATTACATTTTTACATATTCAGGTGCAAGCTACTGTAATTTGAAGATTTTTTGCTAAAAAAAAAAGATTCCGCATCATTCCTTGGGAAGAAAAAAAAAATGACCAAAGAACTAGGGATGAATTTGGTGTGGCCAAGCTTTTAACTGACTATGATTATCGTAAATAACATTAACATTTCACTTATTTGCGAAATAACACCCTAACATTTTGTAAATATTTTTTTCAATAAATTGAAAGATTCCCCTCCCCGCACAATTACAACGAATTTTCTTAAACCAAAACTGCTTTCTAGTCGTCATTTAGGCTGGTCACCTATTGTTGAATATGAAATTAGTTGTCATTTTTTAATTTCTTTAGTGATTTATTTTTTCATTTTCTCTTCTTTTTTTTCAAATGTGATTGTAGCATGATTGTTTCATAACTTCTGTATGATTTTATGCAAGATTTTATTTTAATCTTGGAATGTTTATCTACAAGTTCAGGTTGCAGTCTCCTATTTTATTGAAAATTCAATATACCGTAAATCACCTATTTTATTGAAAATTCAATATACCGTAAATCACCTATTTTAAGAGATGTCAATTGATGTTTTTATATTTAGCTGATATTTCCAAAATTCCAATGGACTGGAGTGAGATTATTTTAGTTAAATGATTTTCTTCAAGTAACAGCAGTGTATATATGTATTGTGTGGTGATTTACGGTATAAATGCTATGGGCCTCCCAAAGGTCATGACCTCGCACACCAGGCCAAGGAATATAATGTGTGTCATAAAAGTCCTGCATTACCCAGGCATTTCAAATGAAAAAAATGTATCTTTCTAGTTTTCAGTGTCGAAGTTAATATGATCTTGCCCAAAATTGGAAAAGTAATATTTAAGGTAGCATACAGCCTTATAAATTTGAGAAATGGATTTGGTAAGAATTCACTGGTCAAGAAATTTGTTTTCTTGTAACTTTACGGAATACTACTGGAATTGCCCCCCTGATTACGGCCTGGTGTGTGTAGGTCTTGCCTTGCCCAGCTTTACTTGGACTGTGGCTATATGTACAATGGTGCCTAGCAAAGCATGGCTCTGCTCATATCCTATCATCATGGTTTTTATACTCAAGGACAGACACAGGTCCTTCGAAATATTAATTTTGAAACTTACAGACCCTTCAACTGTAACTTGGGGGACTGCATTGTTGAAGGGCAACACCAAAAATACTTGTTATCTCATTCACCCCTGAAATTTCATAATGAACTATTCCAACCTTTGAATTAGAAGAGTTCAAATGTGTCTTCTGGGATTAATTAGTTAAGACAATATAAAAAAAATATGAAATACTAATTGAATCTTCAAATCTGCGGCACTGCAATATTGATGGGCAACTCCAAAATAAACCTCAGTATGAATGGCAATAAAAACTGACGTAGAAGTTATGTTCTGACAACATTGACATGTGTATTCAGAATTTGCCAATCAGTCTTGCAGTATCTCGGCTAAGGAGAAGATGTCTATAGGAAATGGTTTCAAAAACTATAAAAACAAGTTTCAGTGGGCTGATGATCTTTCTGTTGAGAAATAAAGACCATGATGGACCTATTTCTTTGTTTGGTTTTTACAGGTTTCCCTATTTCCATTTTACGATTTGTTACATGTTGATTGGTTTCAGTTCCTTTTGTTTTAACTGGTTGTCGTTGTGACAGAACTTTTTGTTTCAGTAAGTAGTGATGTACTCTTTAGAATGTTGTGGCCAGGTGGGGTTTGGTGACCTTACACTATGTATTGTACATGTTATGCCTGTATGGTATGCATCAAATGACCTTGACAAAACGTGGTGCTGGGAACAAAAATTCATGATTATTTGGTGCATCTTTGTTATGAGAAATCCACGTGATAGTTGATTGTGTTTCTAGTGTAATTCGTTTTAAGATTGGAGTTTCTTTTTCATATCTCAGCAACTTTCTTAAACATCGTTGTAAGATAATTTTAGAAGCAAGTCTATTTTGATTAAATTCATGCAAGGTTATCTTTGGCACAGAGTTTTATTGATATAGAAGATATGATTGTAAGATTTCCAAATGCATAAAAGATCATTTGCCTGATGGGTAAGGTTCAAGTGTCAACTGCTTCGTGCTTGTCGCTCTGTGGGTTATATATATTTATCACCAAATACCACACATTACCTTGGTAACGGGAGCATACGACACCAAAGTATGATATAAGCTTCACACGTTTACTGGGTGTAAGCGGGAAATGGTTCAAAATTCTCAATAAAATCATAATATGTGTTTATGTTCTTTTCCAGATTATCACTGGGATGCCTCAGACTGGGCCCCGCGACCATCCCTTCCAAACATTAGCGAGGTACCAATGAAGGAGGTCCCCGACTCGCCCCGATCTAGTCCCCACAGCAACGACAGTAACACCCATGTGTCCAGCTTCATCCAGCCTCCACCCTGCATGACTGAGAGTGGAGGCATGTACACTGATCCCGAACTCCTAGAATCGGAGTATGTCGGAGATTCTGAGTACGCTGAGAACGAATATGACACTGATGATCACGGATATCCAAGTCCCCCTGACTACCACCAAATCTTAGGGCTGCCTCCCTTCCCTGAGATTGACGAACAGAATGGTGGACAGGAGGATCCTTACCATCTTCCTCAACATAACCTACACATGCATCCCGACCAATATCTCCCAAACCATAGTTTCAGCCAGTCACGCGAACAGGTTGGGGAGATGATGCAGGACCCACCCACGTACCCCGAGGTGGAAATCAGTGACGCGAGTGACAATGCTGACAATGAAAGTGTGGTACAGTACGGCTTCCCATCCAGTAGTGTAGGGAGACGACCGCGAGTGGCTCAGGAAAGCGAGTATAACCCAGACTTTGGCCAGTCGGCTGCATCTATGATTGACAACATGAGCGTGTCGGTGGGCGGTTACACGTCCACCAATGCCTCGTGTTCAGACATTTCCGGTCTGTGTGAGATTGAGGACAGTGAAGTCAATCTCAGTGAGGAGGACAGTGCTGACGAATTGACGCCGTTAAATAATGAACAGTTACATACAGTGGTGTAACCCTGTCTGTGTTTTGTAGTGAACAAAGGATTTAAATAAAGGGGAACAGAAACTACAACTACCCCCACTGTGTCCGTCAGCTTGACGTTATAGAATGTGTGAGTGTGCGCGGGAGAAACTGCCTTTCTACATCAGGGAATATTGCCCCCCTCTCCAAGCCGTCACAAGGGGCCGTCATACATACATTTCTGCAGCCTCTTTGATAACAGGTGCTTTACAATAAACTTTCACCTACAGCTTTTTTTCACTATCATCAGATGTTTAGGTTGTTCATCTTGACTGCATTTGCGAGTAAGATTGTGTTTCCATGACAACGGCCTCCAGCCAATCAATGGTGATGACGTTAGGATATTTGAGCCGGAGCGGACACCATATTGATTATATGATCACTTCTTCGTAAACGTGCCATCATCACAGATTTTGTTTGTATTTAACGAGGATTAATCATGAAATACTTTGTTTAATGTCTTAATTATATAAAAAGATTTTCCTCAGTTCACAGAACGACCATTGATATAGGTGGTGCTATTAGATTTGTTGTATTCCTTGATAATTGTAATGATTTTAAGAATGATTTCAGTTCTGTACTGAGTGTATACAAGTTGTCTACACTTAGTTCCGATTTAGCATTTTACATATATATATATATATATATATATATATATCCATGACCAGATACACAATGTTCATTTCTTGTCACACAAAAATTCAGTAGTGGTTCGGCTAATTATAAATCTTTGCTGCAATAGTTGTGTTGAATCTCGGCATAGTTCTGCCCACGTTTCCCTGCAGTGTTAGCGGTTGTGTGTCACATTTATGTTAACATACGTTTAATTACAATGATCAATTGATATTGTTTCATACATAATTACCTCCCCTGATTTGTTTTGCTTGATTATGTAATGATTTGATACTAAAATGCCTGAAACGGAAGGTTTGTTTCAATAATATAAGCACAATAGCAGCAATGATCCATTTGCCTCCATGATTCACTTGGTATAAATAAAAGAAAAAATATCCGCAGAGCAAAATCGTAAGCTCAGATATCCAGCATGAAATATATATTTGTATTTACATTGTATGTTCAACACATGAGAAAGAAATTATATCAAACGGCACATAAATGACATTAGTTTGAACATGTTCATGTCATCAAGGATTTCTAGTCTGACCTCAGACTGAAGATTTCAATTGTTTAAATTGGGTTATTCCGTCTTTTCGTATTGCAGAGTTATCTGCTCTTGATAGCAGGTATTGATAGCATACGTCATTTGTTTGTGAGAGTAATGTCATCATTTTTGAGAAAACAACGTAATTTTCTGACACAAATTAATGGTAACAATCAATACCTGCTCACAAGAGTAGATAACTCTGCAATATGAAAAGACGGAATTGTGTCATCATCTTAAATGATTTTTGAGTTTCTAAAAGTTATTTTTTAAGAATAGAAGAGCTTGATTACTCATTTTGTGGTTATCCTATTTTAAAGCTCTGCTGGCATACATACAGCACCAAATTGTTCACTTCAGACTATCAACTAGGCATGCTATTGCAGATGAATCAAATTAAGATTGTGCTAAGATTGCCAACTCAGGCTAGAATGGTGAAATTGGGCTAAGTGTTGAATTAAAGAGAGTGAGAGAAAGAGAGTGTGAGGGAGAGAAAATGAGAGAAAGAAAAGTAGCTAGATAATCTGTGATGGGAGATTGGGGAGTCTTAAAGACGTTTAGTAATTGTGTGACATTTAATTGAACAAGATAATTTATTTTGCTATACTTACTGGTTGTGATTATACTGAAAGTCTATGTTTTTTTTTGTAAATGTACGTGTTAAAATAGTGTCTGCTATGTATGTTAATTCCCATTATTGTAGATTTTGTAATATATGTCAATCCATGTTTTAAAAATATTGTATAGTTTTATACAAAAAAAATCATTTTAACATATAATATATAGTAGCTGATATTAGCTGCTTTGTGTATATGCTTGACATTTATATGTTTTCAAATTTCATGACATTTCATCGGTGTCATGTAAATGCTTGCATTGACAAATGTGTTTTCAAATTTAGTGACATTTTATCGGTGTCATGACCTTCATTTGACCTCATTTAATGCTAAACAGGTAATCATTACCTGTTTTGTTCTCATTTTGATTGTTTTGCACCGATTTGTTGTAATCAAAATGATTTTGCTGCCAAAGTTTGTACATGTATGTGATAGAACGTAGTGATGAATTGTTGGTCGTCCAGGTACAGTTGGAGTATGACAAGATAAGTGTTTTAGTAAAAGTGAAAATAATGATCTAAACTAAAATTCAACTTGATGCATCATGAAATCTTTTAGTCAAGACCATCAGGTGTAAAAGCACAGCAGAAATTTATTTCAATCTGAACAGGCCTACTAGATATTTTATCATCACTTAAGGATATTTGCTGTTTGACTTGTATGTATCTGTTGTAAAGTATTTTTTCAGGAAAAAGGGAGACAACTCCGAAAATCAAGAGTAAAATGTGTAAGGTAGCGTATAGCCTTAAATGATAATTACAGTTTTATTGATCAGAAAAGTTTGAAGACAAGAAAGAAGTCATCGGCGACATTAAGGTTCATAGGGGATTGTGATGCTTAAACCTGTAGTGTAAACCTTGTTGATTTTGTGGTTCTAGTTTTAAGCAACTTTAAGTATTTGTAATAGGCTGTTAGGAGTTGTCTGGTATCGTGTGTTTGAGTATGTGTAGTTTGTGAGAGTTATCCCCCCCTATATATTACTATATATGCTAGTTAGACTGTCTGTAACATCGTTAATTTGAAACACATAGCTTTTTACTGGAGTATGTATTGGTGTGTGTATATGAGGGTGAGCTTCAAGCTTTGAATTGGATTATCAGTGTGTTCACAAGAGAGTAAATTGGTGACTTGCATAGTGTAAATGCTATGGTCAGTGCTCGAAAAGTTGCCTTTTTTAGCAAAAATGTTTTTGAAAAATAAGGTTAGTAACATTATTTTATTAACAAATGTGCTATTTCATCTCAGTTAAAAATAGTTTTGTTAATGGTACTTAGACCTAAAGTTCTCCTAAAAAGTATAATCTGGTGTACTGAAACATCAATATGTATAAGGTTAACTCATTCACCCCTGAAGACACATTTTTTGAACTCTTCCAGTTCAAAGGTAGGAATAGTTCATAATGAAATTAAAGGGGTGAATGTGTTAATAGATTAGTAAATGAATTGTTTTTACAAATGTGCTATTTTATTTATTTACTATTGTTTTATTTGGATCTATAACACGGTTCTCCCAAATTTATAAATCTGTGAAACATGTTAAGTGTAATCACAACATTATCTGGAAACCAGACCACCGTCTAAATGTGTTGGGTTGTTAATACTGATTTTTTTTTACGCCGTGAGTAGATTATTATTTTGACAAGATCTCGCCTTGTAAAATGTCTACTCTGCGGTTTCAGCGAATAAACTTTTTTTCTTTGCCTTTATCAGATTGATGAAAGTACATCAACAACACATCATAATTCTGTGATTTTTTTTTACAATGGACATAAATTACTGTAAAATTTAAAATCAAAAGAGAAAATTTAAAACCAATGACATAATTTCATGAATCATCAATCGTATTGTAATTTTTAGTTTCAAAATAATCATGCACCATTTTATATTGTATTTTGTTCATAACCATCCACCTGTTTTTGTAATTTGTTGATATAGGGCAATTAATAAGTCAATAGCGGTAGTAACAGGCTTAACTTACGTTATACAGCCAGGGTCCACTGTAGTCAATGATGCGTGGGGTTCTTTACAGAATGTTGAAATTTCAATTGGAATAAAAATACAAAGATAAATTCATTAATACTGCCAAGGATAACTATTGTTGGTATATTTTGGAGAAGAAATCTGAACATATGAAACGGAAATCTGTATCCTTGAATGATATAGGTGTCAAGTAAAGATGTAGAGAATACCATGTCAGTTTCCTAGGAAATCAACATTTCTGTGGGTCCATTTATAAATGGTTGTGGAAAGTTGTGTGTGGTGTGAATGATAAAAAGAATGGGAGGGTTGTTTTATGTTACATCGATTCATACAAAGCCTCCATCATCTCGTATTTTAAAAGCTTGTTTCATGGTAAATAACCATTAAAATAACAATAAAAAAAATACCTTGAAAAAAAATGAATAAAACTTATGAAAATATAATTTTAATTGTGAGTTGTTGTTCTTTACATATTGTCGTGAGTAATGATAAAATTACTTGTGAGGTGGCAATCGCAACCATGGTCAATTTCCGTAAACGAACAAATTCTTGTTCAGGGAAAGTGCATGAGGACAGTTCCCCAATGGTGAGACAAAGCCTCATGTGACATATCATTACTGCATTTTGTTGATCATTGTGTGTTCTTAAACAATTCACATTTTGAACTTCTCCACAAAAACTACTTCAATAAAAAAGAAAAAGGAGCTTTCATTAGACAACATGAAATTGTGAATCATATAGGTTCACACTCCTAGGAACTGAGGGATTTGTCTAAAACAAATTATACCCCTTGGCTGCTACAAATGCATTGACTTGACAACTTTTTAGGGAAGAGTTATTAAAAAAAAAATCTCTTTCCTGATCAAACATAAATATGCTTTTAGAACCTAAAAGTCAAATTTGATCTTCATGTAAAACCTTGCCTATTGCAATAACTATATATATATACAGATTTATTGATTAGAACACGCATCATAGAAGCATCCAAATTCAAGGATTAAATACGGAGATACTGCACATTTGACACCCATGACCTTGAATATCTGTGGAGGTCGTTCATTTGAACCACCCTAGGTCTATTGAGAAGAAGTTGTTAAGATATCTTTTTAACACATTTGACCAAAGTGACCTTGAATAGCCCTTCACCCTAGCATGCTATTGTCCATATATCACCTTATGGCTATTGCTTATTCAGAAATTTACCTCTCAACTTGAATATAGGTAAAAGTAAATTCATTTGAACAAACTAGACAGCCCTTTAAGTTCAATCCATGTTACTAGCTAAATATCATCATTCTAAGCTCTTAATGTTTCTGTAATAGATATGACCCCTATGACCTTGAATATTTGTGAATTTCATTCATCTGTATCAACTTATATCCTTTTATACCAACATGCTACTGGCCAAATATCATCAACCTAGGCCACTTTGTGTTTCAGTAGAGGTCGTTCAATTTTTAGCTCACCTGGCACAAAGTGCCAAGTGAGCTTATGCCGTGGCCCGGCGTCAATATTTTAATGTAAACGACTTCTTCTTTATAACCGAAAGGCCTAGGGTGATGATGTTTGGCCAGAAGCAAACTGGGAGGAAGGGCTACAAAGTTTGTTAAAATTAATGACCTTCACCCATTTTCAAGGTCACAGGGGTCAAATATGTTAAAAACTTTAAACATTTTCTTCTTGATAACCAAACTGTCCAAGGAGATGATATTTGGCCAGTAGCATGCTGAGATGAAGGGCTACAAAGTTTGTTCAAATGAATGACCTTCACCCATATTCAAGGCCACAGGGGTCAAATATGTTAAAAACTTTAAAAAAACTTCTCAATAACCAAAATGCCCAGGGTGAAGTTATTTGGCCAGTAGCATGCTGAGATGAAAGGCTACAAAGTTTGTTCAAATGAATGACCTTCACCCATTTTCAAGGTCACAGGGGTCAAATATGTTAAAAACTTTAAACATCTTCTTCTTGATAACCAAACTGTCCAAGGAGATGATATTTGGCCAGTAGCATGCTGAGATGAAGGGCTACAAAGTTTGTTCAAATGAATGACCTTCACCCATATTCAAGGTCACAGGGGTCAAATATGTTAAAAACTTTAAAACAACTTCTCAATAACCAAAATGCCCAGGGTGAAGTTATTTGGCCAGTAGCATGCTGAGATGAAGGGCTACAAAGTTTGTTCAAATGAATGACCTTCACCCATTTTCAAGGTCACAGGGGTCAAATATGTTAAAAACTTTAAACAACTTCCTCTCAATAATCAAAATGCGCAGGGTGACAATATTTGGCCACAAGGAGCAAATATGTTCAAAAAATTTAAACAACTTGTTCTGAATAACCAAAAGGCTCAGGATGTTGATATTTAGTCAGTAGCATGCTGGGATCAAGGGCTACTATGTTTGTTAAAGTGAATGACTTTGACTTATATTCAAGGTCACGGGTCAAATTTGTTTAAAATCTTTAAACAACCTCTTCTGAATAACCATGGGTCCCAGGATGTTGATACTTTGCA